CCGATGCAGGGGACACAGATTCCATCCCTAGTCCAGAAAGATCCCACATGCTGCGTGGCAACCAAGCCTATGTGCCAAAATTGCCAAGCCTGTGCTCTAGAGCCGATGAACCACAACTGCTGAACCCACGTGCCTAGAGAAGCCTGTGTATCACAACTAGAGAGCAGCCCCCATTTACAACAACTAGAGGAAGCCCATGTGGGACAACAAAGACCCAGTGTAAAAAGGAAGAAGGGGAGAAAGAACAGACTTTTGGACTCTGTGGGAGAAGGCGAGGGTGGGATGTTTCAAGAGAACAGCATCGAAACATGTATATTATCTAGGGTGAAACAGATCACCAGCCCAGGTTGGATGCATGAGACAAGTGCTTGGGCCTGGTGCACTGGGAAGACCCAGAGGGATCGGGTAGAGAGGGAGGTGGGAGGGGGGATCGGGATGGGGAATACATGTAAATCCATGGCTGATTCATGTCAGTGTATGACAAAAACCACTACAATACTGTAAAGTAATTAGCCTCCAACTAAAAAAAAATAAATGAAAAAAAAAAAGAAGAAAGGAAGTTAAGAAGAAGGGAAGAAAAGAAATACAAGAGAAGAGTTGGAAAATAAAGTTAAATCTTCTTCCAGAAAGTAAACAAAGGGAGACAGAAAACTAGGAAGGGGAAGGACAGAGGAAAGAAGTGTGACAGCAGTAGGGAGAACAGATAAAAATACAAAAGATAAATTCAGAAGGTCTAACATTCCACTTTAATGAGTTCCAGGAGAGAACAACAAAAACAGAAAAGAGGAATGTATCAAAGAATTTGATCAAAGAATATAAGAGAATTTCCCAGAATTAAAGAATTTCAAAATGAAGAGGCCCAACCAATGACCAATGCAATGAATGACAAATCCCAAAACTTAAACACATAATTAGGAAATTTTAAAATACCACAAATACAGTTTTCAAAAAGTTACTATTTAAAGAGTGAATGGAGTAGAAGTACTTTTCCCTATTCCTCTCCCCAAGTACAGCTAAAATCCTGGGACATTACATATAAACATAAGACTGAGAGGTGGAGAGAAAGCAAACCTGCTGAGGACCTCAGTAGCAGAGGAGTAATGCGGTGGTGATTTCTCTTGGTTTCCTTTTTACCTCACATATCCTAGACTTGGTGCTGGATAAGATGGTAATTAGATAATAACCATTCTACTCCAGCCAAACACCACAGGAAAAACTATAGTCCCACCAGCAAAGGCCAAGTGGGGAGTCTAGACTTCTACCTTTGCTGGCTATAAAGAGTAACTTTTCCCCTCCTCACTGGAGTAGTGTTTGGGAAGGCTGAGTGGGGAGCCAAACTCCCACCCTCATCTAAGAGTAATGAGGAAACCCTCCCTCTGGGGTATGAACAGACACTGAGTGGGGATACTGGACTTCCATGCCCATCTGATAGTAACAAGTCAGTGTCTCCTCTTTCACTGCTGGAAGTGTCTGAGGAGGCAAGGTAAAACAAGATATTTAAGTAATCCTCATATTTAAACAATACCCAAAATCCCCAGGTTTCAACAGAAAATCACTCATCATACCAAGAACCAAGAAAATCTCAATTTGAATGAGAAAAGACACTCAACAGACTCAACACCATGACAGAGATGTTAAAAATCATCTGACAAGGGGTTTTTTTTTTCTGACAAGGGTTTTTAAGGAGCCCCATCATAAAAATGCCTTAATGGACAATAAGGAATATGCTTAAAACAAGTGAAAAAATACAAATTGTCAGTAAAGAAATAGAAGATACAAAGAAGAATCAAATGGAAATTTTAGAACTGAAAAATACAATAACCCAAACAAAATGGATGGATGGCAAAAAAGGATGGGACAGAGGAGAGAATCAGCTAAAAGGAATATAGAACAGAAATTACCCATCTGGAAAAAGAGAGAAAATAGACTAGGAAAAACGTGAACAGAGCCTCAGGGACCTGTGACACTATAAGAAAAACTCTAACATTCACGTCTTTGAGGTCCCAGAAAGACAGAAGAAATGAGTTAATTTACATAAGAGCAATGAAACTTCAAAGTTCTGTGGGAAAATGGTGTTGAATCTCAAACTTTAGGGGACATCCCTGGTGATCCAGTGGTTAAGACTCTGCTTTCACTGCAGGGGGCATGAGTTCAATCCCTGGTCAGGGAGGTAATATCCTGCGAATGCCTCAAGGTACAGCCACAAAATCACAATCAATCAATCAAGCAAACAAAAAAAGCCCCAAAGAAATGAAACTTTGTATCCAAGCATAAGAATGGAATACAGTATCCAGGAAGTCTATCTCCTATACAACCTTTCTTAGAAGTTACTTGAGGATGTATACTATCAAAACAATGGAAAAAAACAGACACAACGAAAACCCTGGGAACCACCAGTAAATAGTCATATAGCTAAGGAAAACTGTGAAGTAAAGTTCCAAAATGATAGTCATGCATCAAGTCTGGAGAACAACTAGTCCAGATTTGAGAAAGGGATGCAGGGCTCCAAGAAGGTGGTCTTTTTTGTTTGAGGGGCAGTAGACTTGGTGTACCTAATGTAATAGAGATTTTTTGAAAAGAAAAAATGGAATATGCGAAAAAGTAAAATAGTGAAAGAGAAACAGAATTAGAAACTTCCAAAAAAACAAAAAACTGCTACAAGGAAAAATCATAAAAGTACATCGACTGGCTCTGCATGAACAATATTTACAGTCATGTTAATATTAACTGTTTATTGCTTTTAAACTTTTAGGATCAAACTATAAACACACACAGAAAAAGCCTTAATCATGATTACAGAAAAGAATTCCATGTTACCAACTTTGATATACAAAAGACTAGATGATAGAAGTTGAGAGGTTGAACAGTGGGGAAGAAGGCAAATAGGAAAGGTATTCTCATCTAACAAAGTTCTGGTTCAGAAAAGTGGTCTCTCGCTCATGGAACAAGGAATCAGTGCTGCTTATATTCAGAAAAGTTATCTAATAGAGAAACAAAATCATATTAAAAACAGGAAGGACAAGAGTTGAACTTGGTGTAAATTATCCAAATTCTCATCTGTCATAGCAGGACATAAGACACATCATATGGCATATTATTTAGAAGTGGGGATAACAATCAGAAGAAATAACTAAAAGTGGATGCTAACAAGATGGTAGATGTCCAACTCTTTGTGACCCCATGGACTATACAGCCCATGGAATTCTCCAAGCCAGAATACTGGAGTGGGTAGCCATTCCCTTCTCCAGGGCATCTTCCCAACCCAGGGATCAAACCCAGGTCTCCCACATTGCAGGTGCATTCTTTACCAGCTGAGCCACAAGGGAAGACCAAGAATACTGGAGTGGGTAGCCTATCCCTTCTCCAGGGTATCTTCCTGACCCAGGAATCGAACTGGGATCTCCTGTATTGCAGGCAGATTCTTTACCAACTGAGCTATCACGCAGGGAAGCCCCTCAGAAAAGTTATCTAACAGAGAAACTAAATCATATTAGAAGCAGGAAGGACAAGAGTTGAACTTGGTGTAAATTATCTAAATCCTCATCTGTCATAGCAGGACATGAAAGACACATCATATGGATTATTATTTAGATATGGAAATAACAATCAGAAGAAATAAAAATGGATGCTAATAACAAGATGGCAGAGTAGGGATGGGGCATGGGGGTCAGTACACTTTTTCGGTACTGATTTATTGATTTGTTTTCTGAACAATGTGTATGCATTACTTCTATTTTAAAATGAACATGTATTTAAAATTTTTAAAAAACAGAAAAAGGACATTCCTACCCACCACTTACTCCCTCTCCCCAAATCCCCTTGTTCTTGGCAGACCTAATGGCAACAGAATATAAAAATCTTTGAGAAACCTTGCAGTCTCCCTTCCTACCTCTCCCTTAAATGTAGTTTTACTGCAGTCAAACTGGAATATTTGTTAACCCAGACTTGCCATACTTGCTTGGAAAAAATATTACTCCTTATCTACATTAGTTGGAATCTTCCCTATTGTTCAAGGCTTAGTTCAAATTCCACCTCCTCCAAAGTCTTCCTTAGTCCACTGGCAGAACTTCCTCCCTTCTCAGTAACTCCCAAGTATTCATTCATGCCTCTAATTATGACACATGCATGTTCTTTAGTCAAATGTTATTTATGTCATTTCATGCCCCTAACCATCCTTCATACCAGCTATTAGAGTCATCTTCCTAAAATACCAATCTGTCACTTCCCTGCTTTAAACCCTTCTTCGGTTTCCTATTGCCCATAGAATAAAAGTTAAGTTTGATTGCCTGGCTTCCACTTCTTCCACTGCTCCCCTCAAAATCCATGTGCTTTCACACTATATCTTTCTTAGGCAGTTCTTCTGTTGGCAATATTCTTTCCTCCGTTTCTACATGGTAAACAGAAATTCTTTCCTTCAAGACTTCAAGTGCCCCCTTCTCTATTAAGGCTTTCCTGAAAACTCCCTCCATCCCACCCCACCCCAGGAAGAACCACCTAATGGTCATATTCTCTACTCTGCCTCATCTACACTTTTCAGTTCTTTTGTCACAGTTGGTGCACTTATCTGCTTAATTACCTGAGCCCCCAGGTAAACTGAATTCCTGGAGTTCAGGGAATATATCTTATCTCCAGAATCAAGCACAGGGCTTGACATGCTGCAGCTCAATATATGCTTGCTGAATGAATGGATGGCAAGGTGATGACCAAGTGAATACTGGAAAGAACAAATGAGCAAATGCTTATACTATTGCATGAATGATAATAAGTGAATGAATGAGTTACCCAGGAAGTAATGAATAAATGAATGACTGGATGAGAAAAAGAAGCCAATCAGTAAGTGAATGAAAAGTTCCTTGTGCCAGTGAGGGTGTGAGAGAATGAATTTCCACCTGTGCCTTGGTTCAAACCTACCTGTAAGATCTTCTGCCCTATTCTCCACCCATCTAAAGTGCACACCAGTGTTAACCATTTTTAGATTATAAGGAACAGACACACTCAGCTTAGTGATGGAGATTTATTGAAGCATTCACAGGGAAATAAGGAAGACAAAAACAGCTACACAGGCAGCCTCACAGAACAGAAACTTGAAAATGGTTCATGATCCAAAGCAGCGCTAGAGCCTGGCTTATCTTTTCACCCCCTCAGCTGCAGGCATCTGTTGCTCCCTTCTCTAGTGCTTCTCAAAATGGTGACTCAACTTCTTTCTGGCAGTGTTTATACTCCTCCTACTGATACTGACTACCTTCTCTCTGCTCCCCTCCATGCCAGCCTGTGGCCTTCGGGGCACAGCTTCTGGGCCTCCTGGCTCCTGCAGTTTCCTGGCTTCTGGGGCTTCAGTTCCAATTAATCGGGGGCTTCTCTGTGCTGTAACTTCTGCTTGCCTGGTCTATCCTGCTGCCTCTGATTTTTGCTGCCTCACTGCCACACGGTTGCAGCTACCTTGAGGCTCTTGCAGTTTCCATTGCTTCTGCTGCCTCATGGATCTCGTCTGTTCAAGCTTTCTGTTGCTTCGTGGATCTCACAGATTCAGGGTTTTGTCTCATTTCTGTTCCTCTAGGCTACTGCTACATTGTGGCTCCTATTGCTTCATGGCTTCTGTGTCCTTTTGGCCCATAGTCTTGTTGCTTCATGGCTTCTGCTACCTGTGGCCCCACATTCTCACATGCTTCATGGTTTTTGCAGCTTTCTCCTTGTTTTTGCTATTCAGTTTCTGACATCCCTCATCCACCACCACGTCTGCCTTGCTAAATTCTAATTGTTCACTTCTTCTGAATGCCTCACATTCGACCTCCCTGAAAAAGGATCTGGTTGTTTCATACATTTGTCATCTCATACAGGCCATGGCTAGGAGGTGGAGTTCTTACATCAGTCCACCTAATAGGACATTGTCCAGCTTAGAGATTGGCTGTCCATGAGTAAGATACTATCCCAACTTTGTCATCTTTGGCCAGGATTGTGAGGTCACATGGTACAGAGCATGGCAACTCATGCTTAAGAAACCCCTTAAAAGGGACTGTGGGCATGGAAGGTCTGCTGAGGGCTTCCAAAAGGGAGCAGTGTAACTGGCAAGCTTCTTGTTCGCTTGTCCAGTACCAGTGACCTTCAAAGGCCAACCTTCTCCTTGGCCTTTTCTGCCTGATCTGATCTGCAATGGGAGAAATCAAGGCTCTAGGGGCAATGTGGAAAGGGAACTTACGTTCCAGTTCTGGCTCCTACATTTCCTAGTAGTGGGGCCTTAGGCAAGTTTCTTCCCCACTGAGAGCCTCAGGAGGGGACTGGACGAAGTCTGTAGGTTCCCTTACAGGTCTGGTGTTTGAGTATCTCCCTTTAGGTTACTGTATAAGGGATCTAAGTCTTGTCTGGGGAAGCCCTCAAAAACATCTGAGGTAGGAAAGAGGGAGTCAGAGTTCCACCTTGGAAGGGCACAGGAGGTGCTTAGCCAAGATTTATTGAACTCAATGAATGAATCAATGGCTGGGGAGGAGGGGGAGACCACACAGCACACATAGAATGTTTACTTAACTTGAGGAATTTCAATTGCTGAGGAAGCTGGAAGGAGTTCTGATTCAAATGAATAATGAAGGAGAATGACTGGGACAGAGTAGGAATCTTGGCTATTAACGAGTATTCATTCTATCCTCCCAGTCACACTTCACATCCAATAATCAGTCACCAAGATGAAGCACATCTCTTCCTTTAATGGCTCACACCTTATCATCTCCAATCTAGTCCCACTGTCCTTGCCCTAGTATTTTCAATAGTTCCCTAACTAATCTGTCTCCATTTTCTCCTTCACACATGTATTCATTCATTCAAAAACTATTTTTTGGATGCCTTTTTGGGGTCAGGCACTGTGCTTTTTGCTGGGGGTATACTAGTAGCAAGATAGCCACACACCCACCCCTGTGGGGCTTATAGCTTATTTGGAGAGAGAAAACAGGCAAATATAAAACAGTGTGAGAATTGAACTAAGGGAGCATATAGCTTGAGCATCTAACCTAATCTGCTTCCACACTGGCTAGCCAGAAAGGGGTTTGTTTCTTATCTAGTCTCCTCTGCTGTCTCCAACCCACAGTTCCCAAACCTGGCTGCACCCTAGACACCCTCACATTTATAAGCTCTCCAGATCCTGAGGCCCCCACCCAGTTATGGAAACTGAATTTTTAGGTGGGGGGGTGTCATCCAGGATGCACCCTGTGTTTCTGGTATACAGCCAGTTAGGGAACCAAAGTGTTCTGAGGTAAATCTGTTCTATAGCCAGGTTCTTACGACTCATTTCAAATCTGGTTCCTGACTACCTCTCCAGCTTCACTTCCTGCTACTTCCCCAGCCCAGGAAACCTTATGGCTCAGTATTTCTGAACTGGTGGGCTGTTACTTGACCGCAGGTCTTGTGCATACTGTTCCCACTATCTGGAAATCTCTTTCAACTCCTCAACTGGCTAATTCCTACCAGTCCTTTGAGACTCAGCTCAGGTTTCACCTCCTAGACTAGAGGATGTCTTCCCTGAACCTCTACCTAAGCTAGATGCCCTTCCTTTATCCATGCTCCTGTCACAGTGCTAATCACATTGGTTTATAAATTGCCTCCCTAACTAGACACTGAGCTCCTCAAGGACAGGATAAAGATTTGATTCATGTTTGTGTCCCCAGACTAAGGCTACTAGGTCCAGAACATAAGGGAGTCAACCTAGTGTCCTTCAACTAGCCCTAGGGATTTCACTCAGGTCCAGCTGGCTCTTGGAAACACACCACAGTGTCCGCTCTCTCCTGGGCACAGCCTGCACTGAGTGTGTGTTGTCTTGTGATGATAGGAGGCAGTGTGACACAAGAGAAAGCACTGGGCAAACAGAGAAGATCCTAGTTGAAGTCTAGGCTCTGTAACAGAACCACTGGGATCTCAAGACAAGTCATCTCACCTCTCTGAGCCTCAGGATTTAAATCCTTTGTAGCATTTGTGTTCCTATGTGCCAGGGCCTTAGCCTGAGGCAATTCATGTAATGCTTTCTACCTCGTGAGGTAGGGATTAGTTACCCAGATTATCATCCACACCTACTGAATTAGATTTCCAGGCGTGGGACCAGAGCAAGGAGCTCCACATCCTTTGGACATGGGAGTGCAGCAAGGAACTGCTGCTTTTCATTATAAGCCCTTCTGTATTATTTTATTTTCTAACTGGTGTATATATTGCTTTGATTCTTAAAAAGGAAAAAGAGGGAGTTCATTGGTGGCCTAGTGGTCAGGATTCTGGGCTTTCACTACCACAGCCCAGGTTCAATCCCTGGTTGGGGAACTGAGATCCTGCAAGCCACACAGTGCAGACAGAAAAAAAAAAAAAAACAGGAAAAGAAAAAGCTTCACAGGTGATTCCAGTGAATAGCCAAGGTTGATAACCACCCTCACAATGGAGAAAACACAAGACTGAATTGGAGGGCCTGGGTTCAAACCTTCACTGCTACCTGGCAGCCGGGTTACTTCACCTTCCTGGGCCTCAGTCTCCTCATCTGTAAAGTGGGAAGAATAGCAATTACTACCTTTAAAAGCCTGTGATGACCTAGATGTCAGCCAAATAGCTACAGATACATTTCATCTTCCTTACATGGCTGCAAGGTAGGTGTACATTATCTCCTTTCCTTCGTGAGGAAACCGAGGCTCAGGGAGGTGAACTAACGGGCTCAAGTTTCTGCAGCTAGGATTTGAATCAGGGTGACTCCCAAATTGTGCTTTTCCACATACACCAGCATTTCCCAAATTATGGCACACACACCACAGGTGGTATGCGATTTCTTTGGTTGAGCACAGATAAATTTGTTTTGATAGTTGTCCCTTTTAATATGAATTAGAAAATTACATACTTAGCACATCAAACCCATTGTTTCACGGTTATCGCTACTTAGGATGAAACTAAAGTAGATAACAATATTAGACCTAAGACAATCTCAAGAAAAATACTGGGTAAATAGTACAGGAGGGCAATTTGGAAGTATCTATTAAAAACAAAAGCATAAATAGCCTACGACTCTGCAATTTAGTTTCTAGTAATCTACCCTAGGTAAGTTTTCACACACACACACACACACACACACACACACACACACACACACGCTCCTGCTTAGCATCCTATAAAAGCAAAAACAGAAAACAGTCTATCACATGAGAAATGGGTAAATAAAATGTGGTAGAGTCACATAATGGCAATCTACCTAACAATTACAAAGGATGAACTGCTTCTACATTTAGCAACATGCATAGATCTCAAAAATATAGCTAAGCAAAGAAAGAAAACTGCAGAATGAGTCAATACATCATCTGCATTAAACACAATATAGTCAATTAATTCACATGTAAAAGTCTTAAAATTAAGATGGATGTACAACAGACATTACAGCAATTAAGATGGGATGGGGGAATGGTAGTTGAATGACTACCATTATTTGCAACAATCTAATTTCTTAAAAAGAAAATTCATTCATTACTTGGGTAATTACAATTGATTAAACTTTTAAAAAACAAAAATGTAGTATACAGATCAGGACAAGGTGATGATGGTCTGACGATGTGAAGAAGCAAAGACTGATCTCATGGCAGCACACTGAGCTACCTCTGCAACTAACACAGTCATTTCCCAAAAGGAACATCACATGCATTCAGCCAGGATATGGCCCAGGCTACCTCTCCCCTACCTCCTCACAACCCAGGTTGAGATCTAGGCACTCAGTTATATGTGATTTAAGCTATAGGGTTCCTTAGGCCCTCCACTTACCAGGTAAACCCCATCAATGCCCTGGAACTTTTCCAATAACCAGAGCATTCAGCATCTCCCAAATCTGGAGGCTCCTTCTGTCCTTAACAATTGGGATCAGAAGCCCTCAGGCGTTAGGCATGTGAAGACTTGTATTCTGAGGTGTTGGCACCTACTGGGCTCTAAGCAAGGATAAGGCCTCCAGTGAGGAGTTTGACATCATTAAATCCTGTGAGGTAGGTAAATACTGTTAGCCCCATTTTATAAATGAGGAAACTGAGGCACAGAAAGGTCAAATGACTTGCCCAGCGTCAAACTAGAAAGTAATAAAAAATGGGACTAGAACTGTCCCCAGAGCCCAGGCTCTGCTCCTAGTACCCAACCAAATCCTACCAACTTAAGGTCCAGCTGAAAAGTGACCTCCGGAAAGCCTGGAGGTGATCGTCCTCTTTTCAAATTCAAAGCACCTTTACCTGATTCAGCTAACCACGGGAACTCATGAATTAGCATCCTCCTAGTAGGAGAGTAGAGATCATGTCTGACTCAGTTCTGTATTCCTAGCATAGAGTCTGACAAAAAGGTTTTCAGTATGTGTCTGACGAACACACAAAATGAACAAAAACATGAATGAGGGCGGTTTCATGTAACTGCCTGAATCCTATGAGGTCCGGAATACTTCTGCCCAGCTCCGGGGTGCTGTCATACTAAGCTCTCTTGGAATCAAATTCATCCTAGGCTCCTTCTAAAATGGGTCTCTAATATCTATATTATTTTGCAAGCACACCCACATGCGCACATGTGGACACATATACACACGCATACATACCCACACACAAGCAAAATGCAAGGGGGCCCAAAGGACCCATGATTATGGATGATGGAAGAAGGTCTGGAAGGGAGGAAAGGGGGATGGACAGATGGCCCTGTTCAGCTCAGTTCAGCTCAGCTCAGCTCAGCACCTCCTTCCAGAGGCCAGGATGCTCCCTGAAGCTCAGGAATTTCTGCTCCAGAACTAACATCACCTCTGTTCCTCTTCGTGCTTGATAGCAGTGCCTAAATCCCATGATAATACCAAACAGGGACAGGAAGTAGGGGAAGGTTGGGCACCAGATATCCAGAGATTGGGAGAGGGGCAGCTTAAGGATCCAGACAGGGTAGGAAGGCAGAACTACTGCTACTGCTCATTGGGGTTGGGGTTGGCATCTGGGTACTTGGTGAGGTCGAAGGTCAGGACTTTGCTGATCACACAGTCCCCTTGCTGAAGGAGGAGGGAGAAAAAGAAAAATAAAATTGTAAGGAGAGAATTAAGAGGGTTCTAGTGCCCTAGGACTGGGGAGCTTCAGACCCTCCTCCCTACATACCTGCCCAAAGCCCAGGCTCTGGTTCTCTGGGTGTGAGAAGATTTGCTCAGTCCCATGTTCTTTCTCTACCTGCCTATTTCTGCACTTTTGTCATTTTCTCTCTCTGGGTGCCTCTGCCTTGCCTTTCTATCTGTCCCCAAATTCAACGGCCCTGCCCAGCTGGGCTGGTAAGCCTCTAGGACAGGGCTCCAACAAGGCTGTTCATGAACTGAGTCCCTATGCTCCCCCACCCCCCGTGCCCCTCCACTGCAGCCTTCCCTTCCTGCCCTGGGGTGTCAGGCAGGGTGTAGGGGCTGGCTCCTGAGCCAGGCCCGCCCTACCTCAGGGTAGACTCCAATGAGGCTCTCAGCCTTGGTGTAGAACTCCTCCTTGAGAGAAATGACGATGGCCTGGAAGTTGCAAGTCGACTGCTCCTTGATGTAATTTGCCACCTGTGGGAGGGGCCGCCAAGCATTTAGTAGGGCTGAAGCCCTAACACTCCCTGGCTTATATCAGAACCAGAGGCAGGTGGGGTAGGGTAGGGGGTGGAGGGTTGGGGGAAGAGAGGCTGAGAGGAGGCTACTGACTAGTACAGTGTGGATGACCCTCGGCCCAGCCTCCCGGGCACAGAGAACAGGCGGCAGGAACGGCTAGGGCACACTCAGGAGTTGTTCCCTGAAACCCAGCCCCGACTTGGGGGCCTCTTTCCCGGGCCCCACTTTCCTTGTACCCACCTTGCCAATGTTGGTGTTATCCAGGGCAGCATCGATCTCATCCAGGACGAAGAAAGGGGCTGGCTTGTAGCTGGGAGGGAACCAGTAGGTAAGCTGATACTGATGGGAGCAGAGGCAGGGCATGACAGCCCTAGGGCCCATCACACAGGCCGGCACCCCCTTCCGTTTCTTCAGAGACTAAAAACCCCAGGTCTGAATGTTGCCTGAGTCCCTAAAGGCCAGTGCACCAACGGAACTCTTCTTTGCATCCATCTCTGTGCTCCAGGATCCCGCAGAACCAAAAGACATGGTCCTCCCTGGAGTGTCCAGGTTGGTTGAGGAGATAAAGCTGTCCTAGGCTCTGGTCACACTGACCAAGCTACCTGGAGGTCGACCCTCACCTACCCACTCACACCATGTCTCCCTGTCTCTGCACATGTTGTACCCTCTGCCTCGGAATGCCTACTGGTCTGCCTGGCTAACTTCTACTTATCCTTTGCATTTCCTGCTCAAGTGTCACCTGCCCTTGAAAGCCTTTCTTGGTCACCCATACCCTCCCAGATTGGGTTGGTGGCTCTCCTCTGTGCACCCAACAGCACACATGCTCACCCAGTTACAACATTTAGCTCACTGTCTATTTACACATCTGGCTTCCACTAGACCATGAGCTCCTCAAGGATAGAAACCATGTCTGACTCATCTGTGTCCCTAATCCCCCAACAAGGTCTGGTAAAGAGCAGCCATCAAGAAATGTTCACTGACTGACACTGTACAATCAAGCACAAAGTTGTAGGGGGGAGTCAGATTCAAGTATTATTGGCATTTAGGAAGGGGATATCAGGGTATGCCACAGTGGTTGAAGCAGGCTTCCTAGAAGAACAGAAGGAGGAGAATGCAATGTGAAGGGGTGGTAGGTGATGGCCAAGCTAGATTTGCATGAAAGGGCTTATGAGCCAGCAACCATGTGAGCAAAAGCTTGGAGGTGGGACTGAATACATGCAGGGGAGGGCATGGTGAATGGATGAGGGTGGATTGGGAAGATAAGTCCGGGAAACCAAGGACAGATATGCTGCAGCAGGTAGGGAAACAGATGCAATCCAGAGTCCACCAGATCATCTTCACTTCTGCAGATCTATGCATATCCTTGGACCCCAGAGCCTCCGGTGGCCTCAGCACAGTCTCCACCAACTGCCCTGCAGGGGGCACAGCCTTACCTGTGGATGGCAAAGAGCAAGGCCAGAGCTGCAACTGTTTTCTCCCCCCCTGACAAGTTGTCCATGGGTCGGAAGCGTTTGCCAGGAGCCACACAGTTGTAGTTTATGCCATCCAAGTAGGGCTCCTCAGGGTTCTCAGGGCCCAGGAACGCCTGGGGGAAAGGAGATGGGTCAGGTCGAGATTGGGATGAGAACAGGAAGCCTAGAGGGAAGGTCAAATGAGGATGGGTAGGGGTCAGTTGGGCAAGGGGCTCCAGCCTACCTGAGCACTGCTGTTACGGGACAGGGCCTTGTAGATCTCATCAATGTTGGTGGCCACCGATTCAAAACAGGCATTGAAGCGGTCAAAGCGTTCCTTCTTGATCTGTTCAAATGCCTGCTTGGCCTTCTTGGCTCGCTTTCGGGCCGCCTCAAATTCTACCACAACGGTAAGACAGGTGACCCCTCAGTACCCAGGCTCTGCCAAGGCTGAGATCCACGCTCTGGCAAAAACAAGTGACTATACACAGAGCAGGGACATCCCACAGGGAGAGGAATGCCTGGGGAGGGGCCCAGGAAGATAACTCCACAATCACCTGTGTCCAGTGGGCTGATCACATGCTGTGTGACCTTAAGCAGGTCATTCATTCTCTAAACCTCAGCAGTTCTCTACTCGAAAACAGATGTGATAATCCCTACTACTTAGGGTTCTTAGGAGTTTTGAGTAAGAAAGCATGTAAAAACAGGAGCTGTTGTTATGTACAACAGGCCCCTGCCATACCTCCAGACTCCTGCCTTCATCTTAGGCCTGAGTAAAAGAAGAAACTTACCGTCTGAGGTCTCTTGGAACTTGTCTCGGACACTTTCCAGCTTTTCCATGGCCTTCATGTTGGGGGCAGCAATACGCTGGAGCACACTCTGCTGCTCATTCAGCTTCTGCTGCAGCGTGTTCATCTCCTGCTTGATCTCCTCCTCAGCCTGGGCATCCTGCAAAGCCCAGGCCCAGCAGCATTAAGAAGGGCCAGGCCCCACAGAGATACCTGATCCAGCGGGGGCCTGCTCCCATGCAGAAGGTCCATGCAGGTTCTTTTTCCCAACCCTGCTCCTCTCATCAGATCCTGAGCAAAGTAACCATTTCCCACTGTCCCTAGAAAGTACAGGCTCATGTCACTTTTCACATCTCTAGCCCTTCCCCTTTGGACTGCAAGGAGCTCAAACCAGTCAATGCTAAAGAAAATCAACCCTGAATATTCACTGGAAAGACTGATGCTGAAGCTGAGGCTCCAATACTTTGGCCACCTGATGTGAAGAGCTGACTCACTGGAAAAAATCCTGATGCTGGGACAAAGAGAAGGCAGGAGGAGAAGGGGACGACAGAGGACAAGATGGCATCACCAACTCAATGGACATGAGTTTGAACAAGCTCCAGGAGATGGTGAAGGACAAGGAAGCCTGGCGTGCTGCAATCCATAGGGACGCAAAAGAGTCGGACACAACTGAGCATCTGAACAACAATAAAGCTCTTCCCCCAGGCCCTGTCAGCCTCTCCATCTCTCAGCTGATGGTGCCCCTCTCTGGCTCTCAGCCAAGGTCATGAGCAAGCACCATCTCAGGGTGACCTACAGGCTCCTACACAGGTTGGTCTGGACTCCATTTATAGCTCTACAATGAATAAGACAACGACATTTTCTGCTCAAATCACTACACCTGAGCAAATTCCACTTGAACTTGGTTTTAAGTCTTATGGATACTGCAATGCATATCTGGGCTTGTGCATTTCTGTCACTTTTAGTCAATAAATATTACTAAATGCCTTCCAACACCAGGCACTGGCCCCTCATATCCCATGAGACTGGGCTCCTGTACTAATAGAGCTCATGGAGTAACAGAGGAATGTATATAACTAAACAATCTCATATGGTGAATACCCAAACAATGATAAACAGACGGTGATGGGTCAGCACACAAGTGCACTTACTCAGATATGGGCTAGGGAAGGCTTTCAGGAATATTTTTAAGCTCAGGCCTATAGGATGAATGGTGAAAATGGAGAGAAGGAATAGTCTTCTATGCAGATATCACATGCAAAACCAGGGTTTATCTATGGTTCATTCAAGGAAATCAAACCAATTCAAAAGAGTAACCAACTTTAATGAGCTTCAAAAGCCAAACGGGAATTCCCTGGTGGTCCAGTGGTTAGGATTTGGTGTTTTCACTTTTGGAGCCTGGGTTCAATACCTGATCAGGGAATTAAGATTCTGCAAACCAAGCGGTGCAGGAAAAAAAAAAAAGTGTCAAACAAAGGGCAATTCAACATGGCAACAGTAGCAAATGTTGTTGTGTGTGTGTGTGTGTGTGCGCGCGCGCGCGCGCACGCACGCGCGCACATGCACTAGACAGAGGCAAGGCTGGAGGCACATGAAGCCCAATGATAAAAGTGTCTTTTATGCCTTCTAAGAAATTTGGGCTTTATCCCAAGGTAGGTGAGGTACCACTGAATAACTTCAAGCACAGGAAGGATATATACATACACACACACATACATACATATATACATATTTTAAGAAAAGCCTTTTTGAACACCCCTGTCTCTATATATTGTTATGGAGTGATTCATGGATTCAGTAGAAATAAAATATGAAAGGTACACAACAGAATGCTATCTTTTATCTAAGAGAGAGAATGTGAATATATTTGCATAAAAGTATGTTTGTATTTTAAAAATACAACAACAAAATGATAATCCAAAAACTGAAATGGTCACACATAGAGGGAGGTGAAGTTAGACAAGAAAAGAAGCTAAACTTCTCTTCACATACTTTGTATTATACTTCTGGTTTTAGAATAAAATGAAGAATTTACATAATTATAAAACAAAATTAAGCTGAATCAAAATGTGAAAGCCACTGGGTTAAAAAAGAAATGTTAGGGGAACAAGATATTCACAAGATGCCAAAAAGTCACCCTAAAGATTCCTTATTACTTACGATGGGAAAAGCGTATGCTTAGTATTGAGGGATCTGGCAATAGATACCTTAACTCAGGCTCAAACTTAGCATCATGCATAGTAGGACACTGACATGTGCCTCTGGAGAGATGCAATATAAAGTACACATCAGGGAATTTCCTGGTAGTCTGGTGATTAGGACTCAGCACTTTCACTGGCATGGCCCAGGTTCAACCCCTGGTCAGGGAACTAAGATGCCGCAAATCACTCAGCACAGCCAGGGGCGGGGATGGGGCTGGAGGATGGTATGCAGTGAAATGTTCTTGCCAAAAAATTACTTAACCCAAACCTATCAAGCCTCCAAAATAGTTCAAACTTCCAATTTATAGGAAATACAAGGTTAGGAGGAACAAATTAAGCAGTCATGAAAAGGAACTAACATATTCATAATGTATACATAACATATCTTGTTCTTCAAGACAACATACAAACTGTTCAAAAGATCAATGTCATGAAAAAGAGTAGGGAGACTGCTCTGCATTAAAATAACTAAATAAATAAAAGAAACTAAAGAGAATAATCAAAAGCAATGCATGGGACTGACTGGAATATAGCTTAAAAAACTACTACAAAAGACACTAACAACTAGGGAAATTTTAATATGGGTGGAATATTAGATATAAAATTATTATTAATTTTCTTAGGTATAAAATTGAACTGTGGTTGTAGAGAAGAATCCCTTGTTCCATCATGCTGAAGAATTTAGAGTTGAAGCCTACAACTTCCCTCAAAAGGTTTAGCAAAACCAAAAAGTGTGCAGTGCAGAGGAAGGGAAGGAATGAAGAGAGATGAGAGAGAAAGCAAACTGGGAAAATGTTCATTAATCAATCTAAGGTGAAAAGGCATATGGGTGTTCAACCGTACTATTCTTTCAATTTTCTGTAGGTTTGACAAGATTCCAAATTAAATTTGGGAAAAAAAAGCAGAATGCTAAAAAGCAAAATCCTTTAAAAATTGAAAACTAAACAAAATAAATCTGACTATATACTAAGCTGGTTAAAATGCTCAGAAGATCCTTTCAAATCACTTTAAAACACAGGAACACAAAAAAAGCAAAAAACAGAAACACTGGAACACAACTGTCCATGCTCAGTAAGCCTTTAGCTTAAGGACCAAAAGAACATCAAGGAAATCTTAAACAGCACTCAGTAATTGAACTGTTACTAATAATATCTTGGTGTGATTTTCTATATATAGGATACACTAAAGTAAGTATACTAGATTTTTAGCAAGAATAATTGGATACTCAAACATAAAATCAATATTAAACTGTAAAAACTACAATTTCAATTGGAAGTGTCAATATGAACTCATGATAGATTTTTCCTTCAAAATAAAAAGTGTATTTTGTAGCCCAGTCTACTGAAAAGTTCTAGAAACACTGAGCAACCCAGCAGACATGAACATTCCAGTGTCCAGATGGTAGTCGCGAAATAATAGCATTCCTCACAAAAAGTCACTGTGTTTATTTAACTTATATATGGAGTACATCATGAGAAGCGATGGGCTGGATGAAGCACAAGCTGCAATCAAGACTGCCAGGAGAAATATCAATAACCTCAGATATGCAGATGAACCACCCTTATGGCAGAAAATGAAGAAGAACTGAAGAGCCTCTTGATGAAAGTGAAAGAAGAGAGTGAAAAAGTCGGCTTAAAGCTCAACATTCAGAAAACAAAGATCATGGCATCCGGTCCCATCACTTCATGGCAAATAGATGGAGAAACAGTGGCAGACTTAATTTTCTTGGGCTCCAAAATCACTGCAGATGGTGATCGCAGCCATGAAATTAAAAGACGCTTGCTCCTTGGAATGAAAGTTATGACCAACTTAGACAGTGTATTAAAAAGCAGAGACGTTACTTTGCCAACAAAGGTCCGTCTAGTCAAGGCTATGGTTTCTCCAGTAGTCATCTATGGATGTGAGAGTTGGACTATAAAGAAAGCTGAGCACCGAAGAATTGATGCTTTTGAACTATGATGTTGGAGAAGACTCTTGAGAGTCCCTTGGACTACAAGAAGATCCAACCAGTCCATCCTAAAGGAAATCAGTCCTGAATATTTATTGGAAGGACTGATGTTGAAGCTGAAATTCCAATACTTTGGCCACCTGTTGTGAAGAACTGACTCATTGGCAAAGACCCTGATGCTGGGAAAGATGGAAAGCCGGAGGAGTAGGAGACGATAGAGGATGAGATGGTTGGATGGCATCACTAACTCAATGGACATGAGTGAGTAAACTCCAGGAGTTGGAGATGGACAGGGAGGCCTGGCGTGCTGCAATCCATGGGGTCGCAAACAGTTGGACACGACTGAGCGGCTGAACTGACAAAAAGAAGTCAGAGCTTCTCAGAGAAATGTCTAATTCCATATCTGGGGTGGAAAATGTAAAGGATGAGCCTGGATGGACACACCAGAAATCAAGGAAGATATCAAAGAGTACAAGAGTTGTGTCAAAATTATTCAGAAGCCAATTTGAATGAGTCCCCATGGGCCAAAAATGCCAACAACTTCATGCAACAAGAAGGATAATAATCCTAAGAGTGCAACACATCAAATGTTTAAATCTAAAAGTTCATAACAACATGAAAACAACTCAGTGGCCATATCTTGAGAATGCCAAAGAACCAACTCATTATAAACTGATAAAGAGAAAGAATCCAGCACATATATCCTGCCTTTCCTATACAAAATACCCCAGGGTAACCAAAAAATTGATGAGAGAAAATCTCTTTACAGTGTTCTAGCTAATAAAGAAATGATAGAATAAGATGACCATTTTGCAACTCTTGACAAATTATAAAATGGGTCTAGGCAATAATCATCATGGCTGCAAACTACACAAAAAGAGCCACTGACCAGATGTTATAAACCTCTTGATGGAAGTAACGACCTCATTTGAAGCAGTCTTGACCAAATAAACCCCAAAACTTGAATCTAATCAAACCTCTAGATTTGAGCTGACCAATATACTGGCTATAAGCCACACATCACTACTGAGCATGAAAAATGCAGCTAGTGTGACTGAGGAACTAAAATTTTTATTTTACTAAATGTTAGATAATTTAAATTTAAAAACTGATAATTCAGTTACTACGAAACTTCTAAGTATATTTGGAACAACTTGGGTATGTGGTTCTCCATTTTCAATTGTAAATTTTAGGATATCTAAATACAGATCAAGTATTTTTGAAGAAAACTTAGCATCCAAATGGAGATATGCTAGAAGTGTAAAACAGATAATGAATTTTGAAAACTCAGTACAGAGAGATGGTCAAATACCTCATCAATAAATTTTATAATGTTTACCACTGAAATATTAATTCTTCTGGATATACTGGGTTAAACAAAATATAGTATTAAAATTACTTTCACTTTTTAAAAGTTACACATGTGAGTCTGTAGTTAACAGCACTTATCATCAACCCACTTACAGGAACTATAGGGTCTAGCAGAACTCATTTTTTTTGCTTTGTTCTGGGGCAATATTTTAAAAACCACAGGACATAATCAACAGTATAGAACGTAGAAAATCCTTCAGGAGAAATAAACAAATTTCTTCAACAACAATAAACATTGTAGAGAAAAATAAAAATAGACAGGAGGAACTTTTGGATTAAGTGAGACATCAACCAATCACTAAATCAATTATCTGTTTCTTTCATTTTATTTGACTCTCAATTAAAACAAGCAAAGAGTGTGTGTGTATGTGTATAACAATCCGGGAAATGTGAATACTGATCATAATATTAAGGAATTGTATAATAATATATAACTCCAATGTTAAGTTATTGGGTTTTTAGTATGATAATTCTAAATATTTTAAATAATTTTCTCTTATAGAGATACATTCTGAAATATTTACAATACAAACGAAAAGACACAGTGTCCAGAATTTACTTTTAAATGTCCTGGGGGTGGGGAGGGCGGAGAGGATGGCGTGTGTGGGGGTGCACATGCAACAAGTTTGGCCATGAGTTGATAACTGCTGACACTGGTGATGGCCATGAGGCAGCACTGTACTATTTTACTTATGCATATGAAGTTTTCCGTAATAAAAATCTAAAAATAAGAACAGCAAAAATCAACGTGAAGTGGCTCCCAATGGCCAAGAATGGGATAATATGAGTATCAAAAAGAAAAATGACTCCAAATAGACTGAAAAATACCAAAATATGTTTAAACACTTAAGTTCATAAAAAATATAAATTAGAAACCTTACTGGTCACCTTTAAAGGTTATAAGGGCAACCAACTCTAAAAGCTGAGAAATAAAGGCAAAGAATTAAGTATTTATCCTACCTTCTCTGTACTAACTGTATTTCAAAAGAACTAAACAGTTGATGTGAGAAAGTTCTTTTTAGAAATCCAATTAATAAACATAGGAGGAATGAAAAAAATCAGAAAATTACCATTTTGCAGCCCTTAATAGATATAGGCAATGATCATTTGTTAATGACTGCTAAAACCTGCTGTGAAAGGCTGATAGGGAACTTGATAAAATCCCCTTATAAAATTGATGGGGCTAACAACACCTTAACCTGGTGATCATGATTGTTTTTCTTTTTTTAACTTTACATTATGTAAAACTTGAAACATTCACAAAAATGCAGATAATGATAAAATGAACCCCCACGTACCTATTATCAGCTTCAATAATTATCAACTCATGGCCAATACGCTGCCATCTACACCCAATTCCTTTCTATATTCAATTATTTTCAAGCAAATCTCAGACATTTCATCCATAAATAATTTCAGTATGTATTTATAAAATAGGGATTCTGAATCTCAGCACTAATATTTTGGGCCAGATGATCTGTTGTTGTGGGTAGTGTCCCTTGTGTACTGTAGGATGTTTAGCAGCATCCCTGGTGTCTATCCACTAGATACTGGCAGTAACCTCTGCCCTAGTTGTGACAAGTGGGTGTGAAAAAGAGTATCTCCAGACATTACCAAATCTACCCCTCCCATTGAGAACCACTGTTGTAAAACTAAGAACGTTTTTACCACAATACCATTATCGCCTAGAAATATTAACAGCAATTCCTGAACATCCATCATAAACTATCTACAGTGTTCAAATCATCCTGATCATGCTATGTAAAAAAATTTTTTACAGGTTTTTCAAAGCAGGTTCCAAATAAGGTGCCCACATTACACTTGGTTGTATGTCTCTTAATTCTCACTTAATCTAGAAATTCCCCTGCCTCTCTTTTCTTTGCAATGGATTCAAGGGGGGGCTACAAATTTTAACTGGTTGATTTATCTCATAAGTCTATAAAAGTTCTCCCTTTCTGTTTATTTCTTTCTTCCCATTTATTTATGGAAGAGATCAGGCCTTTTGTCCTTTTGAGTTTCCCACAGTCTGGATTTAGTTAACTGTATCCCTGTACTTTATTTAACATGTTCCTCTGGCATCAGTGTTTCATATAATTAATTGGTGGATATAAAAGCTTAATATTTCATAGGTAATGTGTATTCATCAAATCTTATCACTACAGAGACAGAACTGATATTCAGTGTCTACTGATGTGATGCAAAAGGAAGTTTACAAGTACACAGCACCACCTATGATATATTCTTGCCAAAAATAAAAAATAAACCTGAATCCAATCAAACCATAGATTTACCAATCAGTTTATAGGGAACACAGGGATGGAAGAACATGTTACATAACACCATGGGACATAATCAGTCAAATTCACAGCACAGAAAATTGTACAAGACCAATGACCCACTTGGTTTTTTTGGGCTCCAAAATCACTGCAGATGGTGATTGCAGTCATGAAATTAAAAGACGCTTACTCCTTAGAAGTAAAGTTATGATCAAGCTAGATAGCATGTTAAAAAGCAGAGATATTACTTTGTCAACAAAGGTCTGTTTAGTCAAGGCTATGGTTTTTCCAGTGGTCATGCATGGATGTGAGAGTTGGACTATAAAGAAAGCTGAGCACTGAAGAATTGATGCTTTTGAACTATGGTGTTGGAGAAGACTCTTGAGAGTCCCTTGGACTGCAAGGAGATCCAACCAGTCCATCCTAAAGATTAGTCCTGAATATTCATTGGAAGGACTGATGTTGAAGCTGAAATTCTGATACTTTGACCACTTGATGCAAAGAGCTGACTCATTTGAAAAGACCCTGATGCTAGGAAAGATTGAGGGCAGGAGGAGAAGGGGATGACAGATGAGATAGTTGGATGGCATCACCAACTCAATGGACGTGGGTTTGGGTAGACTCTGGCAGTTGGTGGACAGGGAGGCCTGACGTGCTGCGGTTCATGGGATCACAAAGAGTCGGACAAGACTGAGAGACTGAACTGAACTGAATGACCCAGTTTCTATCATAAAGAGGAAGAAAAAAATAAAAAGGGACAAGAAAATGTTATAGACCATAAGAGACCAATTTTAACACATGGACCTCACTTGAATCCTGATTTAAAAACACTAACATTTTTAAAAAGTATATTTATGGGACATTCATGGAAATCTAAACATTTATTGACTATTAGGTGACATTGCAGAGTCAGTGTTAATTTTTTGGTATGATATTGTGGCTACATTTTAAAAAAAAGAATCCTGCCAGAGATATATACTGAGGTAATTATGAATGATACCTAGAATTTGATTTTAAATGTGCCAATAAGGAAGGGTATAAAAAACAGGATTAACCATATACTGCTAATTATTGAAGCTGAATGATTGGTACCTGGGGTTCATTATATCATTCTATTTCGGTATCTGTTTGAAAGTTTCCATAATAAAAAGTTTTTTTTTTTTTTAAATATCAAGTCCCCCTGGCTATAATGATAGCTTGGAAAGCATCAGAAACTATTCAGGGGGCTCCTGTAGTAGTCCATGTGAGAGGTGAAAGCAGCCTGCACTAGATTACAGTACAAACAGAGAAAAGTAGAATTCAGTAGACATTTGGAAGGTAGAATCGACAGGGCTTGCTAATTCATTATACATGCAAACTGAGAGAGAGAGTCAAGGACACTGAAGAGGCAGATTTGGGGAGGAAGGCTGGGGTTTGAGGTACCTGTGGGACCTAACATAGAGATAGCAGCTGAAGTCCTGGGAGAGGAGATATGAAGGATGAGAACCCCACATAAGGAAAGGATGCCTGGGACAGAGCCCTGAGGAACCTCCAGAGTTTATCTGTTCACTGTACAGGAGCTTGTTCTCCATGTATCTAGGCTGAGTTGTGTACACAGGTGGAAGGGGAAGACTGGTAACAGGCAGGGATGGGAGCAGCTGGGAGTGGGGGGTAGAAGATGTGCCTGTGTCTGTGTGTGCATATGAGGGGAGAACCTAAATCACAACTCCACCCCCCTTGCCAGTTTGCCCTTCTTTCCAGGCATGGTCTGTCTCCATAGGGCCCCCAGATGGGCTGACCCTTTCTCTGGACAGCTGGGAGGATGTCCCCACCCCCAAGGCTGAACCTCACCTTCAGATCCTCACACAGGTCACCGTAGTCAATCTCGATGAGAGCCTCTCGAGCATAGATATTGGAAGTCCGTTGGGAGCCACTCACTGAATCCTCCCCTTGGGAGCTACCCTGCAATAGTGAGAGGGAGAGTCAAATGCAGCTGACTGGCCATAAAAGTACTCCTCTACAGTGAGCTGGAGAGGGGGGCTTCTTGGCAGCCTCTGAGAAGCACCTTGATAGAAAGCACTTGTGGTAGAAGGAAAAGCAGCTTTGATGGCAGAAAGACCTGAGTTCAAAATTGGACTCTGCCACTGACTAATGGTGTGAACTTGGGCAAGACATGCTGTTGCTTAAATCCTCATTTAAACACACAAACCCTCATCTGTAACATGGGACCATGACTGCCTGGCAAGGCTGTGCTTAGGATTAGAAGTATGTATATCATGTGCTACCATGATGCCTGGCACACTGTCAGTGTTCAGAAGATTTTGCTGAATTAAATGGAAATACTATTTGGGAAGAAAGGAGGGAGAAAGACATGTGGGACTGAGATACATGTTCAGGTCAAAGACAAGATATCTGCAGACCTCTTCTCAGTTAACAGTCCTGTCCCCTTGCTATCAAGCCTCACTTCCAGTGGATAAAATGCCTTGGCTATTCTATTGGCTCGTGTCTTTCCCTTTCCCATAACTATGCTTCATCACCTTTGCATTGCTGCTGTCCCCTACCTAACCTTCTCCTGACCAACCTCTCTCACTGCTAAGTTACCATCCCTTAGGGCCCTCAACTTCCATCTTCTTTTGCTCTTGGGATGAGATGGTTAGATAGCATTACCAACTCAATAGACATGAATTTGAGCAAACTCTGGGAGATAGTGAAGGACAGCGAAGCCTGGCATGCTGCAGTCCATGGGGTCGCAAAGAGTCGGACATGACTGAATGACTGAACAACAACCAATATCCATAATCTGCTGAACTATCTTAGCTCAGGTCCCTGAGGTTAATGAATGATTTCCTCTTCTACTGGCTTACCTCCTTCTCCACTTACTGACAGATACCCTACCCCCAACAACTGCAAGGCTATTACCTTTCACCTCACCTGTCTTCACAGCCTCACCCTGCCTCAACTCCTCTGCATCCCTCCTTTTGTCACTCACCACCCTCACCCACCATCCTTCTCTCTCTCACCTGCCCTCCCTGGCCACCTTCATCCCCCATCCCTGGTTATGTTGTTCACAGCCCACACCCACCACCAGCCATGATACTCACCTCTTCCTGACTAATATCATCCATGGTGCCCTTAGACAGTGGCAACTTGATGTCCTGCATCTTGCAGGCCTGTAGCAAGTTGTGGCGGTCACTGCGCTTCTGTTCAAGCTTGGTCTCAATGGCTGTCACCTCCTTCTGTAAATGGGTCATTTCCCTAAGAAGATTCAGGGAGATAGGTGAGATCCAAATCCAGCAAGCTGCCCATACTATGTACTTTCGCCAAGCCCAGATCTGAACCCACTCACTTGTTGGCGCCCCCCAGTTTCTTACGAATCTCCTCCATCTCATGGTTCTTGTCATTCACCTCTGACTTCTTGGCCAGGTGCTGGTTCTTCAGGTCTTGTAGCTGCGCCATGGTCTCATCTATGATCTTCATATGTCTCTGCTCCTCCTGAGCCCAGCAGGGGGAACACAAGAAGTGAAGGCTTTCCCTCCATTCCCACTGGAATGGAATGGAATCTTCTCCCTCTGTGCCCACCCTTTCTACCAGGTAGTTTCTTGGAATCTATCTTCAATAAGCTCTGCTTTTACAAACCCCCATCACTCCTCTGGCTTTTTACCTTTTTCCAAATTATTTTGTTGATCTTCCCCCAACCCCAATATACAAACTGTCTGCTGTAGAAATGTTCAAAGTATAAAAAAGTATGAAATAGGAGGAAAAAAAGAAATTACTTGAATCCCACCAGGCAGAGGTAACCAATTAACATTTAGCCTATCACCTCCCAATATTACTTATGGATAAGTCTATATAGTTGAGACTAAATTATAATTAAAAGTCTGTATTCTGACTTAATGTTATTTAAGCATCTTTTTCACATCAACATTATTGTCACGAGCAACAACATCAATATTTTTAAAAAGCATAATACTGTATGTTTTCCATAAGTATACTTATAAGAGGACTTCCCTTGTGACTCAGCTGGTAAAGAATCTGCCTGCATTGCAGAGACCTGGGTTCAATCCCTGGGTTGGGAAGGTTGCTGGAGATGGGAAAGGTTACCACTTCAGTATTCTGGCCTGGAGAATTCCATGGACTGTATAGTCCATGGAGTCGCAAAGAGTCGGACATGACTGAGCGACTTTCACTTTCACTTTTCACACATATAAGAATGTAATTAATGCCTATAAAGTCTGGGAGAATACACTCTATATGGGACTGGCCCTAGGAAGAGTAAAAGAACTGGGATTGAGAGTGGTCAGTCAATGGGGATTATAATCTTAGTTATTATGTTCTGATTTTTTTTTTTAAGGAGAACGTTTTCATTTTGATCTGAAAGTCACAGAAGGGGATATATCTGTAACGCATAAGAAATAATATGCATACAGAGTGCAAATGCTAATACGGCAAATAATGATTGATGAATCTTGGTGACAGGTAGATGGGAGTTCTTAGTACTATTTTTGCAACTTCCTGCTAAATTTAAAATGATTTCAAAATAAAAAGTCAAAAAGAAATAAATGATTCTGAATCATCTACATGTCTACCTACTCCTGCCCCAGGATTTTACTACCCAATCTCTATTTGCATTGAAGATTGCAGTGACACCAAAGAAGACTACTTCAATCATCAGGGTTTAATGGAGAAAAACAAAAAACAAAACCATACAACCAATAACAAAGGCAGACATAAAAATCAAATGATATACTTAAGCCAAGTGAGAATCAAATCACCTCAGGTAGGGATGTTCCAAGTAACAAAAGCTTCACAGCAGTTTAGGGAATTCCCTGATGGTCCAATGGTTGACTCTATACCCCCAGGGCAGGGGGCCTGGGTTCGATTCCTGGCCAGGGAACTAGATCCCAAGTGCCACAACTAAAGATCCTGCATGCCCTAACTAAGACCTGTTGCAGCCAAAGAAATTTAAAAAAAATGTTCCACAGGAATTTAAAGAGAAGGGGTGTGGGTAAATGAGTCATCAAAGAACTGGTGGAACAGGCATGCTTGACTCAAAGAAACTGAGCCATGGCAGTCAGCACAGGCACACTGTGAAAAGGAATTCAGTATCAGCAAAACACCATCACCTGTTGCACTGAGTTAATGTGGTTAATTATAAAATTAATTTGGAAGTTTGTCCTGGCTTTTTGGTTAAGTGGTATGTTTGTTTTTAAGGATATTTTAAGCCAAAATAAATCTTTAAAAGAGGTCAGTATATTACTCAAATATGAAACTATTAAACTACACAAATACTTACATGAATGTAGCATAATTTGCTTCAATCCTAATTCCCAGGAGACACGGGACAGTTTCCTATATGGAACTATAAATATTTGTCACTAATTATCAACCTGTGTGCACAAAGCTATGCCAGCACTTTGGATCTCCTCAGGTATTAGTTAGGAGAAATGTATTCTGAAGACTCTCAATGGATGCTGCCACATGGCCTAAGAATGCTGGTCTTGTGCAACATGCTAGTATCCTTTTAAAAAAAAAAAAAATCTTGGGTGATGTGATAAGAAACAAATTACACGTAATTATTGTTTTAATTTGCATTCCTTTGAGTTCTACTAAGGCTCAATTATGGATATGTGTTTATGGGTTATTTGAATTTCTCCTTGAACTGTTGATGCCACTCATTTTTCTCTCTATTTAGGTCTTGGTGTTTTTCTTATTTAGAGGACTTTATAAATTATGGATATTATCTCTTCTAATTTTTTCTCCTAGTTTTTAGTTTTTCATGTTCTCCTTTCTTACCTTCTTGAGCTTTTCGATCTCATTTTCATCTTTTTTCACTGTCTGCTCCCACATGTGTACTTTATCCTGGTCCTCCTTCAGTTGGTTCTTTTCAAAATCCAACTGGATACCCAAACGAGTCTTCTGATTCTCAAACTCCAAACTGTGGGGAGAAAGGAGAACTAGGCCTAGGGCACAGGGACTCAGTTACTGCTGAATATAAGTCACCACTGAGCTCATCCACAGATCCATATAAAACCGTCCCCTCAAGTTACAGAACTAAGTTCCCTGGCCTAGCTTTATAGGTATGGCACAAGGCAGAGGAGATTGGGCCAAACTCCATTAATCTTCTTTTAAACACTGGAGCCCTTCCCCGACAAGTTCCTAGAAGCAGATATAAAAAGGTCCACTTGAATCCACTAGCTATGTTAATTCCTATTTATTAAGCTTCTGTGTAGTTTACATACATTACCTCTAATCCTCTAACAAATAGCTCTACAAGGCATTATTATCCTCAATTTACAAAAAAAAAAAGAAACTTTCGCCAAGAGGTAAAAGACTTTGCCCAAGGCCATACAGCTAGCAAATGTGAAATCAGATCCCAGTCTAAACACTAAAACCTGGGATTCTTCTCCTATGGCATCCTTACAATATAATGTGGTAGGATAAGAGGACTGGTATCCCAACTCTGCCATTTACTGGTAGTGAATCTCAGACAAGTTAATTTTATCTCTTTACCTGTTTTCTCAACTGAAAAATGGAAATAACAATAGTACTTACCTCAGTCATTGGGAATTAATACATATAAAGTCTTTAGAACCTTGTCTGGTACAGTAAGTACTCAATAAATTATTAGTTATCATCACCATCTCTAGGTTGACTGACTGTATTCAGTTCATGGGGTTTGACTCTTTCCAACTCCCCAAACCCCTGCACATACCTCTGCCCCAAGATTCCAGAACTTCTATGGGGGCAGAGATTGGATAGTTTAAAAAAAAAAATGGAGAAAACAGATCCCTGGTAGTTCCCTCCTCACTAACTCTTTAGAAATTATAAAAGTATGCAACTAGCATACACAGATATTAGCAGGACAGGCAGGGCTAACTTCCAACTGCCCCTCCACCCAATATGGTGTGACAGATGTTGCCAGATGTCATGCTAGCAGCTTAAACCTATTAGTCACTATAATCCAAATAGAATGTAATTAACTCTATAATTTTGAGCTATGCAATTTTAAGTTCAATCTCTTAAGAATGACTCATAAAGCCTTCTGTGATCTGGCCCCTGCTGACCTTTCCAACACCCCCACCTTCCTCCTGACGCCATTTTTCTGCTCCAGACATTTAATACTTAGTTTACAGAAAAAGGCATGCTCTCTCACACCTCTGAGCATGCTGTTCTCACTGCTTGGAACTCCCTTCTGTGTACTGCCTGGCTGGCTAAATCACTCTACAGGTCTCCAGTTCATCACTCCTTGTTCTGTAAAACCTTTCCTGAGGATTGCGAACAGGTTCTTTGTTTCTATTATACTTTGTTGGGTTCCTCCCTTTTGGGTGCAGTTGAGTTAATCATACCCCAGAGTTCATATAACTTTTATGATCACTGTCTGTACAAGACCTTTCTCTTGTCTCCTTGGGTTCAATCAGATTTCTACTCCTATTATGTTCCCTACAAATACATACACCGAATGTATTTACAAATACATTTAAAAATACAAAATACATGTATTTACAAATACAAATGTATTTACAAATACAAATACAAAGCAAATACATTATATACAGATAGGTAGACATATACATATGTATATAACCTTAAAATGCATACTTGTAATATGTCACTTTTAAATTTACACAAAAGTACAGTGTCATAAATTTATCCTTGTTACTGCCTGTAAATCTAGTTGCTGTCTGAACAGAGTATTCCATAGTCTGTACAGTCATCACATTTAACTTGTATTTCCCTGCAGTGACAGCTGTCTACATTGCTATGAACGTCACACTATCACAAAGTACGCCAAGATGAACAACTCTGAATTTGTCTCTTTTTGAGACCCGGTGGCCAAAACTCTCTCTGGGATACAGACCCAAGGAGTGGCTTTGCTAAGTCAAAGGGCTCATGTAGACTTGTTTTCACCAAATGCTGCTAGGTTGTTTTAATTTGCATTTATTTGATTAGGAATCAGACTGAACATCAACTCACAGTTATTAGCCATTCGAGCTTCTCTTTCCATGAAATGCTATATATGACTATATCCTGTCCGTTCTTCTACTGGGTCTCTAGGTTTGTTTTTTTTCTTCCTGTTGATCTACAGTTCCTTGAACATTTTCCTCTGTACTTTCTATCTACCTAAAAGTACAGCATCATTCTGAAATTGCTAATCTACTTGTTTGTCTCCTCCACTACCCCAAAACTCCCTCAGGACAGGGACAGTCTCTGATTCAATTCTATATCCCTTGAGCCTGGCTTGGGGGTAGGAGACCAATGAACTGTTACAATATGGGTGATGGGCTGATTAAGCCCAGGATTCAAGGGGTGACCTCCTTCAGAGAGACTGTCGTGTTCATCTATCTTACCCTCATCTTCCCACTGTTTCCAATACCTAGCACAGGACAACTTGGCACAAGGTTGGTTGAACAAATGAATAATTAAACTGGGAAAGAAGAGAACTTGCTTTGTTCTTACTATTCTTCCAACCTAGAACTTTGGCCCTCCTCACACTCATCACCTATGAGGATAATGACAATAATAAAAGTATCTATTGGGAGTTCCCTGGGTGGTTCTAGTGGTTAGGCTTTCACTGCTGTGGCCTATTATCTGCTGCTCTTAGTAGGTGCTAAGTATCATGCTAAATACTTTATAAGGATTAAGCCCAACCTCTGAGTCACCTGACAATCTATGAGATAGGTATCATTATTATCCCATCTGACACATAAGGAAACTAGGGCTTAGAGAGGTAAAGGAACCTTGAAGCTAGGATTTTAATCCAGGTAAACCATGTTTAAAGCTGGCACTCTTAACCCCTATACTGTGACACATGCTTCCCTGATGTCCCTGTTCTTTAAAGGTGACTACAATAAATGTCCATCATTCTAAAAGCTGCTCCTTACCTTATGATGGCATTTGACTCCCCAGATGTCAGGCTAGGGGCTCAAGGATACCTCAATCTCCCCCTTCTACCCAGACTTCCACCTACCGCTTCTTGGCGATTTCATTCTGCCGCTTCACCTTCTCTTCCTCAAACTCCCGGATATTGCGCACACCAATCTCCCGACAAAACTCTTCAAATACCTCATCCTCTACCTAAGGAGAGAAGCAAGGGAGAGAAAAGGCCCTTTGGGTCAGAGTACTGCTTCCAATCCTAGTCCTGCCCGTACTGGGCAGGTCCATCCTCTACCAACCTGGTTCATCTTCTCCTTTAAGTCTTTCATTTCCCTCTCTCGGCTCTGGATGATCCTTTTGATATCATTGATTCGAGGCCCAAAGTTGGCTAGCTCACTCTCCAGCTTGGACTTTTCCTGTAAGAAACGGAGTTGAGAGGACAAAAGAGACCAGGATCCTTAGAGAAAAAAAGAGCCACCCTGTATGTACCAGTCCCATGGACAAAAAGGGCTAACTCTCCACACACAGAACCTGAGTTAGCACTGCTCCACTCAAGGCTGCATCATCTTTCACTTGAACCATCATATGGCTTCCTTCCCTGGCCTCCAGTCCGCCAGCTTCAATCCAAAAGACTGGGCACACAATAAACATCGTTATTTACAGGTCTACACTTCCCTCATCTATAACCCTTGGGGCCAGGTGTGTCCTGGAATTTAGACTTTTTGATTTTAGAAAAATGACATATATACTACATATTACATAACACCTCCAGAGTGGTCTGGAGAAGGACCTATAATCAAACACATTAATATAGCTAGAAAAGTACCTCCACTCACAGGGACTGAACTATCTGTAGCTCACTTTCAAAACTCAGAAGAAACTCAAATATTTGTTGAATGAATTAGGTTAATAGCACCTAACATTTACTGAACATTCACTTGGTACAAGCAATCAGTCTAAATACTTCACATGTATTAACTCATTCAATCTGTGCAAGGACCCTATAATTCTACAGATAATTTACAGATTAAGATGAAAAAATAGATACTGAGGTTTCTTTGTTTTTGTTTGGTATTTGTTTCATTCTGTTTTTTGAGTATCTGTAATACATGCATTCGAAAAAGACATTTCTGGAATATATTTTTCAAAAAACTCTTACAAACCAATATAAAAATGAGCAAAAGATTTGAACATTGAGAGGTTTAGTAACTTGCCTAATATCATAGAGCCAAGTCCTAAACCCCTGACTGTCTAACTCTATGCCTTCTATTCCTGATTTCCAGGAACAGACTGGGAGGAGAGACGGAAGAGGGACAACTTCCCCACCCCTAGAAAAGCCTAGACCAGGAATATGAGGATGGCCATTGGTGAACAGGGCTGAAGGTCAGGCCCCACCTGCAGATTAAGGGCCAGATGCCGTGTCTTGGTCTGTTCTAGGTCACTCTGTGAGTACTTGAGCCGCATCTGCAGTCCGTGGGCCTGAGACTGCACCTGACGTAGTTCTGCCTCTTTTCGCTTTGCCTTCATCTGCTCCTGAAGTGGACAAGAGGGAAAGGCTAAGTGGTAAGAAGGTGGCCGGCTGGCCTGGGCTTAGGACCCCCATTCCTAGGGACAGCCCTGCCTGTGGTTTACCTTCAGCTCTTCTGTCAACCGCTCCTTCTTCTCTTTCAACTTGTCTACTGCTTTCTCATCCCAGCGTCGGGCCTTGGCCTTCAGGTCACTGGCCCCGCCAGAGATCACCCCTGACTTCTGGAACAGGGTCCCATCCAGTGCCACTGTCTAAATACAGCAGGGAAAAGACAGGAGGGGGGAGAAGCTGAACAAAGGAATCGCCAATACTAAGCCTATCCAGTTACAATGTGGCAAAGGAATCCATACCTTGTGGCGCTGGTGGCCTCCAAAGGCTATGCGGCGGGCATCCTCCACATTGTCACAGACAAGGGCATTGCCACAAGCATACTGCAGGGCCTTTTTGATGTGAGGTGGCTCATAGCGAATCACATCAATCACCAGCTTTGCCCCCTTCAGCTCCCGGAGTTTCTCATCTGTAGGTTTTACCTGTGAGAAAAAGCTTAGTTAAGTGGCTGAACATGGAGGGCTAGGAGGAGCAGCCCTCTCACAATGCCTTGGCCCCATCACCACCAGCCTCACCTCCAGGTAATCAAGAGGTAAGAAAGTCTCAGGCTCCCCACGCTGCTCCTTGATATACTGAATGCAGTCCCGGCCTGTCTTCTCTGAGTCTACAATAATGGCATCCATGTTCTTGCCCAAAACCTTGGTTACTGCAATCTGATACTTCTTTTGTGTGGGCTGGCAGAGGTCAATGAGGCGGCCGTACTAAGGAAAGTCAGAAGAATGAAGCATGAAGTTTTTGAGAGCTGACTCAGGAACCCTAATTCCCAACTTAGAAGAGGGATGGCAGGTCAGAATCTCTATCAGGAGCACAGCCCCCAAACTATGGAAAAAAGGCCTACTCTGGCCACAAAGCAACAACTTCAGGCAGTCATGTCTGAATCCAGAATCATCTTTCTAAACCTCACTTTTACCATTTCACAGACCACTGCCACCACAGGCATTATGCAACTTAATTGGGTTCCACAAATAAAGAGCACAATAAATGCAATGCACTTGAATCATCCCACATTACGTTTATTGTGCACTTTATTTCTATTATTATTACATCAGCTCCACCTCAGATCATCAGGCATTAGATACTAGAGGCTGGGGACCCTTGAACTACAGAAATGATCAAGAAATATTTGTAGAACCCAATTAAGTTGAACCCAGGGATGGAATTACAGCAATAGAGGGATAATATTCAGGGAATCTGGGAACTCAGGATTTCGTTCAAGAGGCCAAGAGATCTGATAAAACCTAGTAAATGAGCCGACTGTTGTATGTCTAAGGAGCTCACACTGAAGCCTGCACAGAGCTATTGATACATCCTGGGAACTAATTCCTGCCCTGCAGCCCGTTCCCTTTCCCAAAGGCCTCTTCACTTTTTCCACCTCCCATAAAGGAGTGGACACAAGCAAGACAGAACTTTCAGAAAGATACAACTGGTGTGACGAAAAGAACACAAGGTTAAGAGTCAGAACAAGTTGGGTTTGAATTGCAGTTCTTATACATGTAAGCTATGCTGTTTTGAGCAAGTCATTTAACCTCTCTGACCTTCAGTTCTCCCCAGTTGTAAAAATGGGATTAGCAATCCTGTCCTCATGGGGCTGCTGGGAAAATTATCTGACAGTGAGTATGAAAGAAAGTGGTCAGGAAATGAGTTCCCTTTCCACTCTTACCACAGAACCAGGGTACAGGCGCTTGATGCTTTCCATAATTTCGGCCTTTCGCTGTTGGCGGCTGCTCTCCTGGCGGTCGATGCGGGCATCCCCCAGCTGCTCCATTACCTGGTTCAGCTCCTTATTAATCTCATCAATACGTCTCTTGGCCATCTCCACCTCCTCTGTCAGCTCCCCCTCTAGTTTCTTCTGTTCCTCTAGAGACTGCCTACAAAGTAAGGAAATACCAGGGTTATCCTGGCTGGCCAGAAAATATTCCTGGCCGAGAGGGACTATGAGGGTCCTTCCTGGGGAGGGGCAGGACAGGTAGGGTTCACAAGAACAGGCCTGGAGGTAAGAGGGAATGTTACAAAGCCACATACTTGCTGGTTGTGATGTATTCCTCTAGTTTCTCAATCCGTTTCTGATTCTCTTCAATCTCCCGCAGCTTTTGCTTGATCTTGGCCTGGGAGTGAAACAAAGACACTACATCACCATAGGCTGAGCAAGTTAAGGCCAAGACCATGGAGCCCTGGCTCATCCCCCATATGCCTACTCATCCTAAGAGCCTAACAATCACAGACAATCTGTCACTAGTATAAGAGGCCTATTAAAAATCAGATATACAGTGTTCAGTGTGCCTCTGCTAACTGACGGGGCCAGCATGGGCCCTATGAGACCCTCTCACAGGTGTTCTACCCAGCCTGGAACATCTTCCTCACCAATCAGGGAGGCTCAAACCAAGACAAAGTAAAGCTTTCTGGGCCTTTCTGCACTTCTGCTTTCTCATCTATAAAATGCAGGTAACCTTCACTTCATAGAATACACATTAAGTGCCTAACATGTATTAGCCACTAATTCTATGTGTGTGTGCACTCAATTGCTCAGTCATGTCCTACTCTTTGTGGCCCCATGGACTCTAGCATGCCAGGCTCCTCTGTCCATGGAATTTTCCAGGCAAGAATACTGGAGTGTGTTGCCATTTCCTACTGCAGAGGATCTTTCCAACCCAGGGATTGAACCCTTATATTCTGAACTGGCAGGTGGATTCTTTACTACTAGTACTACCTGGGAAGCCCCTAGCTATTAAATACTAATAAAATAGCTATTAATGCCTAATACCTTCTTTTAAACATTTAAAACTGCTTAGCACAATGCCTGGAACACTGTAGGCTCTTGGAATATTACAATAACTTTCCATCATTCCTATTATTTTACTATTATTGTTATTAGGAAGACAGTAAGTGAAGTATACTTGAAAGTGTGGGCTTCCAGGACTTACCTGGTGGTCCAGTGGCTAGGACTCTATCCTTCTACTGCAGGGGGCGCAGATTCAACCCCTGGTCAGAGAACTAAGATTCCACATGCCACAAGGTGCAGCCAAAAAAAACCAAAAAAGTGTGGGCTACACTGCCCAGTTCCATATCCCAGTTCCGCCAGTTAATAACCTTAGGCAGGGACCTCCCTGGTAATCCCGTGGTTGAGAATTCACCTGCCAATGCAGGGGAGAGAGGTTCAATCCCTGGTCCAGAAGATCCCACATGCTGCAGAGCAACTAAGCCCATGTTCCACAACTATTGAGCCAGCATTCTGGAGCCCAAGAGCCACAACTATTGAAGCCCATGGGCCCTAGAGCCCATGTGCTGCAAAAAGAGAAGCCATTGCAATGAGAAGCCTGAGCACTGCAACTAGAGAAAGGCTGCAAGCAGCAGCTAAGAACCAGGACAGCCAAAAACAAAACAGACAAATAAATAAATCTTTTAAAAGATGACTGCATATATGTAAAAAACAGTGCCTAGCACACAGTAAGAGTTTGCCTTTTGTTGTTTAGTCGCTGTGTCCAACTCTTTTGAGATCCCATAGACTGTAGCCCGCCAGGCTCCTCTGTCCATGGAATTTCCCAGGCAAGAATACTAGAATGGGTTGCCATTTCCTTCTCCAGGGGAATGCTCCTGACCCAGGGACCAAACCTGTGTCTCCTGCATTGGCAGGCAGATTCTTTACCACTGAGCCACCAGGGAAGCCCCATGCTAGATGTTAACTATGATCATTACTGTCAAGACTATCATTACTTCCATTTCTCTGGACCATCACCCCTAATCTTGTAAGGCATGCCCACCTCTGTCTCTACTTTCTTCCGTTCTTCCAGATCCAGCCGGTCCTGGTCGGCCTTCTGGTCTCGATTGAACTTCTCCAGCTCCTGGGCCAGGGTAGCTGCTCTCTTGCTGGCTTCTTCTTTCAACCGGTGATATTTCTTCACCTGTGTCAGGGACAGGGATGACCAAATCAGTCCTGACAGCCTAGCAATCTATTTGCCCATCCCTCCACCCCTCAGAGCTTACCTGATTCTCCTCCAAGGTCAAATCTCTGCCCTGACTCTGACTTTCCTCTTCCATCCGTTCCTCAAATTCCTGCCGAGCTTTCTCCACTGACAGCATCTCCTTTTCCAGCTCATCCATGTCACCTTTACGCTTCTTATAATGCTTCTGAGCATTCTGTAGTGACTTTTTGGCTGCTTCCAGCTTCTTGATTTTGTGGGAAGTATTTTCCTTGGCCTTGATGTACTGAGGCCGCTTCTGGTTCAGCTCTGAGTCCTTCTCCCTTTCACCAGAGGGGAGGGGGAACCAATTAGCTCAGTGGGAGAAGGGAGGGTTCCAAGGCTTTTTAATCCAAAGGGGGATTAGGCACTTCCCTTCCAAGCCTCAAGGAAGTGCCTAAAAGAACAGGGCCAATGCCCCACAGATCCTGTGATGGCTGCAGCCTGGCATTCCAGCCACTCTAGAAGGTAAAGCTACCACCCCTGCCTCAACCCTAGCCAGGCCAGACCTCTTGGTAACAACTCCCAAGAGTACCCTGTGTTCACGTAACTGTTCCCCATCTGATCTAACCTTTTCAAATTTCTGTTCTTTGACCTTCAAGCTCCACTTTTCCTCTTCTAGGAAGGGACTATCAGTCACGAGTGGCTTCCCATCACTTCTTCTTGGCAAAGCCACCACCCTTTTCAAGTTCTCCTCTTCTGAGTACCTATCTACATGGAGTCTGAGTACTTAAATACTCTATTTGTCTAACATGCAAGTCAAGAAATATGCCTAATTCTAGCCAAAGCCAAGTCAAGGGGAAGATGCTTTCCACAAGTCGCAGGCTCAGTCCCGCCACTTACTTGATCTCCTTCTCAATCTGCTGTTGTTCCCGCATCATTTTGCCCAGCTCCTTCTTCTTCTCCTTCAGCTCATCCTCTACCTTGTCCATCCGCTTCTTGTCCTTCTCTATCTCCTTGTTCTTAGAGGCCAGTTCTTTGTTGAGCTTCTCAATTTCCACTTCATTATGATAAAGTTTGAAAAGCTGCAACTGTACCTGAGCTCGCACCACCTCATCCTTCAGGCGCTGGTAGCGGTCAGCCTATGCAAATAGGGGTGTGGAGGCAGGGGTGCATCAGTGAGGCACTGGCTTCATCCTGGCCTCTCAGATCCCAGAGGCAACCTGGCCACCTACCTCTTCTTTTTCTTGTTTGGCCTCCTTGCGTTCAGCTGCAATGTTTTTTTTGCGATGGTAATTAAACTGTGTGTCCTCTTCAGCTTTTACCATTTCCTTTTTTCGCTTGTCATATTCCTGGGCCAGCTCCCCAGAGCGACTGATCTCTTCAAAAAGAGCTGTCCTCTCTTTGGGGTTCTTCATGGCAATAGATTCCACAGCACCCTAGTAAAGGTCAAAACACTCTCCCACTTAGATCCTACTCAGTTCAGTTCCCCTACCCACTCCATCATTCAGAAAATGTTCACTTATCCCTTCCCCACACTGGGTGCCACATTTCACCACTGAGCTTTGAGGACATCCCCTGTCTTTTAAGGTACATGGGGAACAGAAGAAATAGAAGCAGAGACAACACCATGTATTATGTGCAGTGACAGCAGGAGCACATAAAAAGAACTAAATGAAGCTTGAGGGTAGATGACCAGTAGGAGTATCTATGTGGGAAGGTTTCCCAAAGGTGACAACTGTGTCTGGAAGATGGGGAAAAAACTAAACAAAAAAGTAAGAGAGACGAGGTTATTCCACATAGAGGAAAATTAGCATTGCAACGTCTGCAGGCCAAAGAAAGCAGGCAAATTTGGGGAACTGTAAAAAGTTTAATGAGGCTGGAGTGCAGGGCTAGAAGAATATTGGCAGATGAGGGTAGTGAGGTGAGCAAGAGCCAAAGCAGGGCTGTTTCATGAATGACAGGAGTTGGATTTCATGCTAAGGCAACAGTTCTCAAATTTTAGTGTGCATCATAATAACCTGGAGCTCTTGGAAAACCACAAACTGCTGGGCCTCACCCCACAGTCTCTGCCCCTATCGGTCTGGGGTAGGGCCTGAGAATGTGCAATTCTAACATGTCCCCAGTTGATGCCAATCTGGCGACTACAATTTGAGAACTGCCATCAAACGGCAATGAGAAATCACTGAAATGTTTTAAGAGGAAGGAATATTTGTGCTCTCATAAGATGAATCTTAGGGGATGAACAGGAGGGGGTCAGACTGGAGTCAGGAAGCCCAGTGAGGAAGCTGCTACATTAGTTCAGAGAGAGGTGGTGAAGCCAGAGATGGAGCAAGTCCAGTGGGGATAGGAAAAAAAGTAGATAGCCAACAACTGTTAAAAGTGCCCACCTAAAGAGAAGCCACCACAATGAGAAGCCTGCACACCAGACAGGCACACACACACAGCAGGTCCCGCTTGCCCAACAAGAGAAAAGCCCAAACAGCAACAATCATCCAACACAGTCAAAAAAAAAAAAGAAAAGGCCACCTGGAAGACGAGGAAGTTACGAGCTTTGATAAGAATGCCCAACTTCTCTAATTCCTCACTGTACTCATGTAGCTGGACCACTTTGTTGTTGATCTTGTACTCAGAGGAACCTCCTACAAGACAATGCATCAGTTAGCCAAGGGTCAGGCCTCCCTCGTACCCAACAAACTAGTCTAGCCACCCCAAGGAGAACCTTCTGGGCAGCCTCACCCACCTACAATGACACGGGCAAATGTGCGGTCCTCAGCACCCTCTTCAGAGTAAACCATGCTGACAAAGGCTCGGTTGGCTGCTGGTTTGCCCACAGGAGCTCCGTGGATCAGGTCCCTTAGGGTCTTTACCCGCAGGTTGCTGGTTTTCTCACCCAACACAAAGCTGATGGCATCCATGAGATTTGACTTACCTAAAGGAGGACATGACAAAGTAGAGGAGGGGAAATAAGGGGAGGGGAAAAGGAATAAAAGAAACACTGAGAACAGAAATGTCCTCTCTTAGACTGTCAGGAGAACAAAATACTGTTTTGCCCCTGTAAAGACTGGGCCTGACCAAAGCCCTGGCTCAAAGGTTTAGAAAAATAGCTCCTTTGAAGCTATTACTTACAATAGCCAAAAACTAGAGCCCCATTTAAGGAAATAATATATTCACAAAATAGATCATTCTACAAAATTTTTTTTGGCCTTACTGCAAGGCATGTAGGATCTTCGTTCCCCAACCAGGAATTGAACCCACATTCCCTGCATTGAAGTGCAGGGTCCTAACCACTGGACTGCCAGGGAAGTCCTCTACAACCTTTGATGACATGGGAAGATGCCCACAAACAGGAGAAACAAGCATGATAAAAAAACTCAACATAGTTTGATCTCAACCAAGTTTAAAAACAAACAAACAAACAAACAAACAAAAAAACACAGGGGATGAGGGAAGGAGGAAAATGCAGAGCTGTTGTTTGACAAGTATAGTCCTTTGCAAGATGAAAAAGTTCAGAAGACTGGTTGCACAAAAATGAATATATTTAATACTAGTGAATTGCACACTCAGAAACGGTGAAGATGAAATTTTATGTTATGTGTATTTTAACATTTTTAAAAAGGCATGTCTTTATAGTGATACATGAAGTACACAGCATCACTATGAAATGTTTCCAAAAATATTCAACCTCAATCTAAACAGCCCTTTAGACCTACGCCCCCCAGTTTATAAGAAATAGATCATCTAGAGAAACATGGTACATGACAGCATGAGGAAACCTTAAGGCAAACACAGAATGTGGAATGTTCTACAAGACAACTCTTTTTAAAAAGTCAATGTCTTCTGGGGAGGACCATTCCAGAACATAAGGGATTACTCAGCCTCCCTGGTGGCAGAGTTAGTAAAGAATCTGTCTGCAATGCAGGAGACCCGGGTTTGATCCCTGGGTTGGGAAGATCCCCTGGAAAAGGGAATGGCAATCTACTCCAGTATTCTTGCCTGAAAAGTCTATGGACAGAGGAGCCTGGCGGACTACAGTCCATGGGGTCGCAAAGAGTCAGACAGGACTGAGCAACTAACATTTAGCTGACTTTCCTTTCCCTCACCTGGAAAATCTTAAAAAGATGACTCAATGGGTAAGCACATAGTTCTCTGTGGGAGTGGCAGCAGCACAGGTGTATCAGGCACAGGTTGTGATCCTGGCTCTGAGAATTAAGTGTGCAGGTGATCACAACCTGTTGTGCCTCAGTATTCTCATCTATAAAACAAAGATGACGGTACCTCCCTCCTAGGGTCACTGTGAGAATTTAAATGTAAAATGTCCCAAAAAGTAAAGTACTTGTCACATAGTGGGGGCTCAATAAATGGCAATCCTATCCTATCCAAACCAGGTCTGGACTCTTAGCTTGGTTTCCCTCATCACAGCAGGACTAGCAGAACATGCAGATGAGGAGTCAGTCTTTTAGGCAACCCATTTCCAACCTTTGGGCTTTTCCCATGCTCTCCAAGGATGACAAGAACATCACACAATCAAAGGCCTCCCTACCTGCAACCATTCAATATTGTAAACATTTTTATAACATGCATTATGATCTGAACAATGATAAAATGTTTCAAGGAATGTTCTTGGGGAACTCCACAGGCCAATGATGAAAATACCAAAATATATACCATGAATTCAAGAGAGAATAAAAGTTAACATGTACCAGGTGTCTAGAGCAGAAATTCACTGAAGGGAATCAAGGCAAGTCTTGTGAGTTGCACACTAAAGAACAGGTAAGGGAGGGCCAGTCAGACCAAGGGGTTTTTTGGGAACACTTGCGCATACAAATTTACCCATGTTGAAGGGACTGAATGCCAAGAGGTGCATCCCGGCTCTTTCCACAGAGACCACCACACCAAAACCCTAAGAAACTGCAACGGAACCCCAAGTATTAGCCATCCAAGAAGATGGGGGGAAGTGGAGTGGTTTTGCCTCTCCCCCCAGGGGACACCTGGTAATGTCTAGAGACATTTTTTTTTTTTTTTTCCTAGAGACATTTTTGATTGTCACACCTGAGTCACGGGGGGTGGTGCTACTGTCACCTAGTGGGTAAAAGCTAAGGAAGCCACTAAATACCCTACAATGCACAGGATGGACTCCAGAGCAAAGAATTATCTCACTGGAAATGTCAATAGTGCTGCTATAGAGAAACCCTGCTTAATTGAGAGCGAAATCTAGGCAAGTCTCCAGGGAAGCTCATCAGTTAGAGCTACTTCAGCAAGGGCAGTCCCTCAGGCTAGGAAGTGATTTAGCTAGAACACCTCTGAGGTGGAGGAACACAGCAGGATTCCAAATAGATAGTTAATTTGGGCAGACAGAAGAATCCTTGGTGTATGATTTAGAGACAGGGAATTTAGATATGAAATAGAGATTTTACCTGACTACCCTTTCTTCCTTTTTCCTTTCCCCCCCAGTTTTAACAAGATATAACAGTTGAGCTATTTCAAATCCTAAAAGATGATGCTGTTGAAGTGTTGCACTCAATATGCCAGCAAATTTGGAAAACTCAGCAGGGGCCACAGGACTGGAAAAGGTCAGCTTTCATTCCAATCCTAAAGAAAGGCAATGCCAAAGAATGTTCAAACTACAACAATTGCACTCATTTCACATGCTACCAAAGTAATGCTCAAAATTCTCCAAGCTAGGCTTCAACAGTACATGAAATGAGAACTTCCAAATGTTCAAGCTGGATTTAGAAAATGCAAACAGAACCAGAGATCAAATTGCCAACATCTGTTGGATCATAGAAAAAGCAAGAGACTTCCAGAAAAATACCTACTTCTGCCTCATTGACTATGCCAAAGTCTTTGACTGTGTGAATCACAACAAACTGGAAAATTCTTCAAGAGATAGGAATACCAGACCACCTTAACTGCCTCCTGAGAAACCTGTATGCAGGTCAAGGAGCAACAGAACCGGAAATGGAACAACGGACTGGTTCCAAATTGGGAAAGGAGTATGTCAAGGCTGTGTATTGTCACCATGCTTATTTAACTTATATGCAGAGTACATCATGCAAAACACCAGTCTGGATGAAGCACAAGCTAGAATCAAGACTGCTAGGAGACATATCAATAACCTTAGATACACAGATGACACCACCTTCATGGGAGAAAACAAAGAACTAAAGAGCCTCTTGATGAAAGTGAAAGAGAAAAGTGAAAAAGCTGGCTTAAAACTCAACATTCAAAAAACGAAGATCATGGCATCCGGTCCCATCACTTCACGGCAAATAGATGGGGAAACAATGGAAACAGTGACAGACTTTATTTTGGGGGGCTCCAAAATCACTGCAGATGGTGACTGCAGCATGAAATTAAAACACGCTTGCTCCTTGGAAGTAAAGCTATGACCAACCTAGACAGCATATTAAAAAGTAGAGACATTATTTGCCGACGTGTAGTCAAAGCTGTTTTCCATAAGTAGTGTATGGATGTGAGAACTGGACCATAAAGAAAGCTGAGCACTGAAGAATTGATGCTTTTGAACTGTGGTGCTGGAGAAGACTCTTGAGAGTCCCTTGGACTGCAAGGAGATCAAACCAGTCAATCCTAAAGGAGATTAGTCCTGAATATTCATTGGAAGGACTGATGCTGATGCTGAAACTCCAATACTGTGGCCACCTGATGCGAAGAACGGACTCACTGGAAAAGACCTTGATGCTGGGAAAGATTGAAGGCAGGAAAAGAGGACGACAGAAGATAAGATGGTTGGATGGCATCACCGACTAGACAGACATGAGTTTGAGCAAGTTCAGGGAGCTGGTGATGGACAGGTAAGCCTGGCATGCTGCAGTCCATGGGGTTGCAGAGTCAACGACTGAGCGACTGAACTGAACTGAACTGACATACAACACTGTATTAGTTTCAGGTGTACAATATGATTTCGTATTTGTATATATTGAAAAATGGCTGCCCCAGTAAGTTAACATCCATCACCTCACAGTTAATATTTTTTGTGACTTTTTTAAGATCTACTCTTAGCAATTTTGAAATGTACAATACAGTAGTTAACTAAATGACCACTCTTCCTAAAGAGCCATCCGAGTCACTTATCATATCATCACTTTATTACATCAATCTAATTTCCTGCACAGCACTTATCACAGCCGAAAAATAACTTTACTTTCTCCTTTATTATCGTCTTTCCCCTAGAAATATAAGTTCTCTGAAAGCATGGCTTAGTCTATTCTCCGCTGTTTCCACAGCACCTTAATTGAATAAATCCTTATAAAGCAGTAAACATTCAATAAATTTGACAAGCTAAAAAGTTCTGACTTCCGACGGTTTCAGTGGTAGGAAAGGGGCGAATTCGAGGCATCCCCACTTCTCAGTTGAGGATGGGGCGGGGGGTTCAGACCCCAAGCACTACCGAGACTGGAGCACGGAGTTCGAAATTCAAAAGTGCCGCCTCCAGAGAAGAGTTTTCAAAAGACGGAAGGGAAAAATTAAAAAAAGGAATTGGAGTGTCCCAGCGCCAGGCGGGAGGAGGCGCTGGGATGAAGCAGAAGTATACCATTTGGCCCAGAGGCCAGGAGCGGCCCCGCATCTTCCTGGTGGTACAAACAATGTGTGGGGGCCGGATGCAGGTGCGCCGGCAAGGAAATGCGTGGCCCACGACTGGAAGCCTGCTCCGGACGCGCCACTTCTGGAGGAAGGGGGCAGTGGGCGGGGTAACGTACAGCTCGGCCCGTACCACTCAGGTCGGGACGGAGGTCACGCAAAGAGAGGGCAACTGACACCTGGGGAAGAGGTTCGAATCAGAGCACCCGAGCGGGAAAAGCGGGCCCGGATCGAACCCCTTAGAAGGGCAAGGAACCTGCTAGGGTTCGCGACATTTCAGGTTGCAAAGGCTGGGTTGTACTACTCTGCTGCCGGATAGGGGGTCCAGGCTGGGACTTGCGCAGGGCCGCAGCCGGGCTTATCTCACCAGAGCCATTGGGTCCAATGATGGCGGTGAACCTCTGAAATGGTCCGATAATCTGCCGACCCTTGTACGATTTAAAGTTCTCGATCTCAATCAGCTTCAGGAACCCCATGACTGCGGCAGCGCCGCCGGCGCTAAGAAAGGCCGCGCCGTTCGCCCGCCAACTGGGATAGCCCGCGCGGGAAACACCGCAGTGCAGGCCGGGCGGACAGTAAACCTCGCGAGAACAAGTCCAGGCCTAACGGGATTTTCGACTTCCGGCGCGGGCGGGAACCAAGGGGCGGGGCATTCGGACTGATGTGGCGGTTTTGTGGATCGGTTGCCAAGGCGCGAGGATACGACTGGCGTTCTGGCCCCGCCCCCTTTGCTTGTTGCTTGGCAATGCAAACCGCCGCTACTGGCGACCTCGCAGTTGAGGAGGCAAGCAGTGCAGTGAGGTGTCTGCAGCTTTGGGGATCCCGGAAAGCTGGCTGACGAGGCCAACCCTTGCTGAGACAAGTCAGAAGTCACAGGAGGGTTCTGCCCTCCAGGGCAAGAGGAAGGTGGGAGCTCGGCTGCGGCTTTTGCCTGGCCGGCGGGAAGATTCAGACTAGGGTCGGGAATTGGAAAGACCCCAGGGAGGGGAGGAAGGAGGGGCCAGCAGGAGGATTCCGAGTTAGAGGAGCTCAAATCTTGCTGAGGGTAGAGTAGGTTGGAATTGGAGTGGGGTGGAGTTATACATGGGATAGGGTGTTAAGGGGGATGGGGTGTGAATGGAGACGAGGGAACTCTGGAACGACGGGGATGCGGGCTGGGGAAAACTGTGGCCAGAGGTACTACCCCTACCCCACTCCACCCCCGCCCCCCGCCTCCCTCCTTTTTCTCCAAGCAGAGTTCAGAGACTGCCGCTATAGTCTTGGACCTAACCTGGGAGCTTCACAGTTGGGACTCCTTGATGAGAAAGGTATTTTGTGTGAACCCCTGGGAGTCAGGGTCCCTAAGCCTGTGCTCTCCACCTCTTATCCTTCTTCCCTTCCCCCTCTTCATCTCTGTCTTTTCATGCCTCACTCCCATCCCATTCCCTTCTCTCCATTCCCCCCTCTGCCCAGTCCCTTGCTTCCCTTCCCTTTCTCTGCTCTGTCCTCCACCCTATCAACCGTCCTGTTGCCCTCCTTCCTCTTTTCCCCCTCTGCCCCTGACCTTTCTGTCCCTTTCCCCTGTTTTCCATCTTTTCTATCCCTCTGCTCCATCCCATCATACCCCATTACCTTATTACCTGCTCTTTACTAAGCCATGACGTTAGCAGTTCAAGAAGCTGTCTGTGTCATCTTCCCCTTCAGTTTGACCTTATATTGTGGTGACAGATGGAATATAAGCAAGCTGGCGTCAGTGCTTAGACTTAGACATGGAAAAGGTCTGGTGGCTGCTACAGCCATTCCTGTAACTATTTTTTAAACGATGTCTGGAGGCTGGGAAGAGTCTTAAGTCCAGAAAAGTGAGAAAGCCTGGCTGATGCAATCGAGTAAATGAAGTTCAGTTGGGAGATACTGGTGTGATCAGGCTGAGGGGATAAAATGACCAAAGGACAGCAATCTCATAATGGACAGGAACTAGAAATCCCATGAATGGAAGAGCCTGGCGGGCTACACCTTGGGGTGGCAAAACAGCCGGACAGATCCTAGCAACTAAACAACAACTTCCATTTAAGAAGATGAAATGTAGCTTTTTGGAGAGAAAATCAAATTGGATCCATACTTCTCACACCATATACAAAATGCAATTCCCAAATAGATTAAAAACTTAAATGAGAAAAGCAAAACTTTAGAAATTTTAGGATATATAGAAGAATATCTTTATCACCTCAGGGGATTTCTTAAATGATAAAAACTTCTGAACTTAAAGGAAAAGATTGGTAAATTTGACTGCATTCAAATTCCTCCAAATTATAACATAAAGTGATAAGATGATAAGTGCACACAAAAAGCTTCTAAAGTATCAATCTGGGTTCTGTGGAGGGTTTGCAGGTGTTCATTTTGTTGTACTTCATAACATATGTGTTAACCATTTTCCTTTGTATGTATCAGCATTAACATAAATTATTATAAAATAATAACAAAGTGAAAACACAAGGCACAAATTGAAGATGTTTGCCACAGGTAAGCTAAGAAATGATTGGTGTGCAGAATACATAAGAAAGTCCTAAAATTAATAAGAAAAGGACATTTTTTAATGAACAAAAGATATGAATGGGCACTTCACAGAAGAGAAAGAAAAAATGCCCAAAACACACATGAAAAGATGTTGCAACCTCATCAGCAATAAGGAAAATGCCAATTAAAATAGATAGTTATAACTTTATACCCACAAGTTGGCAAAAATTAAAAAGTCTGTAACATTAAGTGTTGCTGAGGATGTGGGGTAGCTAGAGTTTATATACACTATAGTGAAAGTATAAATTGGTACAGTCTTCTTGGAAAACGACATTATCTTGTAAAGTTTCAATAGGCTGATGCCCTATGATCCAGCACTTCCACTTCTAGGCATATGCTAGGGACACTTTTCCAGCTGTATATATGTCTCTCTTAATCTACAAGTTCCTCTTTTTTTTTTTTTTTTGGCAATTAACTAAACTGAATTGTTTGTGCTGCAGAGTCCTAGTCTCTCTTGAACCCACTTCAGTCAGGCCCCACCAAAAATGTTCTCATCAAGGTCAGAAGCAACCCTCCCCTTCAAATCAGTCAGTTCTCAGTCCTCATCTTATTTAACCCATCATCAGTTGCTCACTCTCTCCTCCCAAAAGCACTTTCTTCACTCAGCTTGTCAGACAGGGAACTCCAGTTTTTACATCTATTCCACCTGGTAGAGCCTGAAGCAACTGAGCAACTTTCACACTTCACATCACCTCACTGGCCACTCAGCCTCCAGTGCTGGCTCCTCCTCTCCCTATGTCCCCTGAGGCATTCTTATCCACCTAGAGTACCTTAGAGATCTCTTACTGCCTCATAGCTTTAAATTCCTTGTTATCAGTAAGGATGGGCTGAATTATGCTGAGGTTACAACCTCAAAATCTCAGCGGCTGTATGTGGAAGCTAATACATACAACAAACCAGTGAATATAATATAAAAGGAGCCGACTTACAACTAGTGGTTAACAGTGATGGGGAAGGGGTACTATAGGGGTAAGAGAGTGGGAGGTACAAACTATTGGGTGTAAGATAGGCTCAGCCATGTATTGTATATCAGGGGGAATAAAACCAATACTTTGTACTAACTGCAAATGGGAAGAAACCTTTAAAAACTATTAAGAAAAAAACCTAAGGACAACCAATCCAAACACAGTCAACTAGGCCTTCTCAAATAAAACAAGCACTTCATCTATAGCCAATCAAATAATTTCCTTGTTTTCCATCTCTTAAACATCTTTCCTTAAGCTCTTAACCACTTCTGGTTTGGCAGTGCCCAATGTTTTTTGCCCAAATAAACTCTTGAAAAATGTTTCTAAGTCTCAGCAGCTCATAAAGACAGGTTTCTCACTCCTGCTTCTTGTCCATTGTGGATTGGCTACATCTCTGCTCTGTCTTCACTCCAGGACCAAGGCTGAAGGGACAGCCCTCACCTGTGACATTGCTGGTCCCACAGCAGTAAAGAGAGAACATGGGTATCACTAATGGCTCTTAGTTCTGCCTAGGAATGGCACTGTCAATTCTCACATTCCAGAGGGCAAAGCAGATTATGTGACTAATTGTGAGGGCAATATGATAAGAATATAGAATCCTGTAAGGAGGAACAGCAAAAAAAAATTTTGGGGGGCCTTGTGAGATCTTAGTTCCCCACCAGGGATCAAACCTATGCCCCCTGCAGTGGAGGTGCAGAGTCCTAACCACTGGACAGCAAGGGAATTCCCAATAGCATATCTTTTTGAAAAATAACAAAATTTTCCATACTATCTGTATCTATCAATGGGTGTTGACCTCTCAAACTCAACACTTCCAAAACCAATCTCCAGATTCTCATCCTATTCTATTCTCCCCACACAGACTATTTAGTTGATAGCAACGCATCTGACTGTCCCAGCCCAAATCCTTTAAGTCATTCTTAACACTGCTTCCTCACAGCACACCCAATCCCATCAGGAAGTCCTGTTGGCTCTGTCTTCAAAATATATCCAGAATCTGACCACTTCTCTCTACATCTGCTGCTACTAACCTGGCGTGATCATCATCTCTTGCCTGAACAATTGCAATAGCCTCCTGTCTGGTCTCCCTGCCTCTAGCTTCCTTTCCCATCCCCTCCAGTCTATTCTTAACACAGCAGCCAGAACAATCCTTTACAAATCAAAGACAGGACACATTACTCCCACTGCTCAAAATCCTCCAATGGCTGCCCATTTCTCTAAGTAGAAGCTGCAGCCTTTACAATGGTCTGTGAAGTCCTACATGCTCTGCATCTCCCCACCCAATCTAATGTTATTTCCCACTCCTCCATTCACACACTTGCCTCCCTGCTGTCCCTTTGAATGTGTGTGTGCCTCTTGTGTCCACCTTAAGGCCTCTGCACTTGTTCCCTCTGCCTGCAGTGCTCTCCTAGTTATCTGCATAGGAAACTCCCTCACCTTCTTCAAGTATTTCTTTCCGTTATGCCTCCCCTGACTTCCATATTTAAAATTGCAACACTCTCCCCATTTCCTTAGCACTTCCAATTCCCCTTATCCTACTCTATATTTTTCCCAAAGCACTGATCATCATCTTACAAACTATTTAATGTACTCTCTCTAGTCTTGTCTGTCCCCACTAGAAAGTAACTTTCACAAGGACTCAGATTTTTGTCACTTTTGCTCCTTGATGTCTCTCAAATGCTTAAGGGATTGTCTGTCAGTAGGCACTTCACGAATATTTGTTAATTGATAAATGAACATGGGTGAAAAAAGCAAGATGCAGAAGAATGCATACTATGTAATACTCCATCAAGTTTCAAGACAAAATGTTTTAAAATATTGTTCAGGGAATCATACACACACATAGGGTATATTAGTGCATATTACTAAGGGAACGGTGACATTTTGGATAGTGGTTATTCTTAGGGTAAGGATGAGGGAGAACAGACATAAGACACTTAAATAGTATTGATCATGTTCTATTTCTTAACTAGGGAGTTGGTTCATGGGTCTCTTTTATCATGCTTCCTAAGTTACGTATGGCTTATATATAATTCCCCT